TGTGTGTATGGACTCAGCAGAGTGTGTGTGTTTGTGTGTATGGACTCAGCAGAGTGTGTGTGTGTGTGTGTATGGACTCAGCAGTCTGTGTGTGTATGGACTCAGCAGTCTGTGTGTGTATGGACTCAGCAGTCTGTTGGTGTATGGACTCAGCAGTCTGTGTGTGTATGTATGGACTCAACAGCCTGTGTGTGTGTGTGTATGGACTCAGCAGCCCGTGTGTGTGTGTATGGACTCAGCAGCCCGTGCGTGTGTGTATGGACTCAGCAGTCTGTGTGTGTATGGACTCAGCTCGCCTGTGTGTGTGTGTGTATGGACTCCGCAGTCTGTGTGTGTTTGTGTATGGACTCAGCAGAGTGTGTGTGTATGCACTCAGCAGAGTGTGTGTTTGTCTATGGACTCAGCAGAGTGTGTGTGTGTGTGTATGGACTCAGCAGAGTCTGTGTGTGTGTGTGTGTGTGTGTATGGACTCAGCAGAGTCTGTGTGTATGGACTGAGCAGAGTCTGTGTGTGTGTATGGACTCAGCAGTCTGTGTGTGTGTATATGGACTCAGCAATCTGTGTGTGTGTGTGTGTGTGTATGGACTCAGCAGTCTGTGTGTGTGTATGGAGAATACAGAGAAAGGGCTGCGCTTAAAAAATACTTAAAAAGTGTTAAGAGTCCAGATAAAATGAATGAATAAAAAAAGGGGAAGAAGATCTTATCTGGCAATGTCCGTAGTATTTGGTCCGGAACAGTAATCTTGTTTTCTATCTTCCTTATGGGCCGTCTCGTATGCAAGAGATGAAAACAAATACAGAACCCAAATGGTGTAGTATATCTTGATAAAACGGAAATTAAAATATAAAACTTGAATGTAAACTCACATTTCCAAGAGCTAGAACCTGCTCTGGTGTAACGGGCGTACAGCGGTTTAGATCCCCGCTTATGGGATATAGAATGCTTGTCCTTCACGTGCCTCTTCCTTCCGTGGTGTGGGAGATACTCAGATAAAAAGAGACAACTAATAGTGCTCTCTGCGTAAAACTTAAGATAAAATATAAAGTAAAATAAAAGTGGATACTCACAAGACAGGAGCAGGTCAACTGCTCCTGATATATCACGCTGGTGGAATAATCCCCACCTAGGATTGCTTGGAGTCCAACGAATGGTGCCAGGTAATAAGAATAAATATATGTGTATAAAAGGATAGGTGGTACAATAAAAGGTTACCAAATATACTTTAATTATAATAATACACAATATAAAAAAACCATAAACGCGTTTCGCCAATCGGCGTTATCAATATGGGTAAGGAACCTGATACCTGGCAGTGGATCATTTAAATAGCATGTACAAACAATTCAAAAATTGGCGCCAAAATTAGGACAGCCAATCAGATTGCAAGTTAAAAATACATATGATAAAACACAATTAAAACAGTAAAAAAGAGGTACATAAGTATAGACATAAAAATAAATATTCTTGATATATAGTTGAACATTAAAAAAGATCCTTGTTTGATAAAGTATATTATGTGGTGCATGGTCACATGACCGGCATATAATAGGACACAATTAAAATAATAAAAAGGAGGTACATAAGTGTAGACTTAAGGATAAATATTCTAGATATGTAATTGAACATTAAAAACGATCCTTGTTTAATAAAATATATTATATGATGCGCGGTCACATGACCGGCATTAGAACCGAAGTGGATAATGGGATATGTAGTATGACGCCGGCCGGCACTGCGCAGCCGCCGGCGTCATATGGGGGGACTGGCAACTGGCGTCTGCACGCATAGGAGGTGCGGCCAGACGCCAGTGGGCGGGGAAAGTCGGCGTCAGCACGCACGTGGTGCGGCTGACGTCGAATGGAGGGGCGGGCGTCCCGATGACGGCGGCACGCACTCGGCAGTGGCCGTCGTCATCAGGAAGTGGGTAGACGACGGCTAGCACAATGCTGCAGCCGTCGTCATGGAAACATAAAAGTGGGCGGGCTATGACCGGCTAAAATAAAAAGATTAATTAAAATTAAAAAAAGGAATGAGGGGGAGAATAAAAAAGAGTAGAAACATAGGAATAATCGATAGAAATAAAAATATATGTGATAAAAATTAGCACCATGCCTACCCCACTGAATAATGGGAGCAGGCAGGTAGCTATAAAAAAACAGAGCAATGGTGAAAGGATGAGTAAATGAATGAACAGAATTAAAACAGTTAAAAAGATAGGCACATGTTCATAAAAAATTAAACAAATCAAAATCAACATTCAGACCATAAGGTGCAAGGGTTTGAAGTTTATAAACCCATTCCATCTCTTTTTTACCTAAAATATTTTTAATATTTCCACCCCTCCATGGAATCATACATTTGCCTATGGCAATACACTTCAACATTTTAGGATCTTTGTTATGTATAATAAAATGTTTGGATACTGAATGATTAAGGTATCCATTTTTAATGTTTCTGCAGTGTTCGCTCAAACGAATTTTTAAGCACCTTGTGGTCATTCCAACGTATTGGAGGCCACAAGGGCATTCGAGCAGATATATCACATTTTTTGTGGAACAATTAATAAAATCATTTATTTTGTAAACCATGTTTGTCCTTTTTGATATAAATTCCATTACTTTAGAAGGAACATCAGGGTTAGTAGATTTACACACAATGCACATTTTACACTTGCAGAACCCTTTAATTTCTGGGAAAAAGGATATAGGGGGGGTTTTTTTGAGAGTTTTTTCTCTTGTAAAATTATTGGTCAAAATAGATTTGTGTGTGTGTATGGACTCAGCAGTCTATCAATAATTAAAATTCCTGTGAGTTGTTGTGTAGGAAGGGCCCCAGTGCATTGCTTTGCCCAGGGGCCCTTAACTCTGTTAAAATGGTACTGCTTGTGTGTGTCAGTGAGCTTGTCTTTAGTGAGCTTGTGTGTGTCCCCCTGAACTTCTTTGTAGTGAGCCTTCTGTTTAATACAAGTGAGTGTCTGTAGTAAGCTTGTGTGTGAGTCAGAGAGTTTTGTCTGTCAGTAAGCCTATTTGCGCATGTCAGTGAGCTTGTGTGCTTACTATATATATATTTAATTTTTTTTGACTTGTAGGAATGGCATACGTTTTTTTTCCAGGGCTGCTTTGGATTCCCAGGGATTCCCAGTTTGGCTCTGCCAGCGAGTGCACTTTACCGCTGAATAATCTGTGTGAGCTGCCGCACACTTAAGCCCTGTTACACGCGTCTGGGACCTGCTGTTGACAGGTACTAGTAGTCTAGAGATTGGGGTTTATGCTCAGCTATCTGTATAATACAGATCTGTGTGTATAAAATATCCCGGGATAGTCAGTGCTTCCTGTATAGTGCTGCTCTCTGTCTTGGGATATTATACACAAACAGACCTGTATAATACAGAGAGCAGCACTATACAGGGAGCACTGAGTGTCCCAATTTATTATACACACAACCCTGTATTATACAGAGAGCACTGACTGTCCAGGGATATTATACCCAGACAGTAATTGATAGCTGTGCTGCAAAATGTCCTTGGAAATTTTTTTTCAAATGTTGGCAACTATGGCACTGTATCAAGGATAATGTGTTTGTTTTTTTAATAATCCCTGGTGGAAAATAATGAATCCTCCACCAGGTATTATTAAAAAAACAAAACACATTGTGTCGGGGGCGTGGCTTAACATGCGACAGGGGCGGGGTCAAACTGCGACGAGGGCGGGGTTAAATGTGCCCCCCTACTTTTGTCACTGGCCCTCCATGTGCCCCCCCGAAAAATGAATCCTAGAGACGCCACTGCCAGAACCACTGCAGCTTAATAAAGTTGTTCTGGTGTCTAAAGTTTGTCGCTGCAGGCTTTTTAATGTAAACACACACTGTGTGCAGCACTGGCACTAGTTCATATGGCAGATCATATGGGTGGGGCATTGCTATGGAGTTCCTTTAACTCGATAATGGTAATTTGATTGTTTTTTAACCCACCCAGTTGCCCTGCGCATCAGAGAACCTGCCGATTCATCCACCCTGAGAATCTGCTTATTCACATTGAAAAAGTACCCATTCTCACATGAAATCTGAGAATCTGCCCATTAGCGCCAATAGCCTAATAATGTATCCAGTCAGCCAGTGGAGGCTGTTCCATAGGGCATATCTATATCATTGTAAGCACCGCTGATACGTATGTATGTTAGAAAACACGTCTGTCCTGATTATACCTGCAGTTTACATTCTCCTCTTTATTGATGGTTTTGGACAAGGAATGGGGTTAGGTGGATAAAACTCAACACGTCGGGGCAGTCACACCTCACCCTTTTTAAATGTTACCAGCCACGTCTGTAGACAATGTGTGAATACATGCGAAGGCCCAGGAGTAAACATGCTGAGTGTCTTAAACCAGCCTTTAGAACGTTCATGTTTTGTGTCAGGTCGAGGAAGGTCACAATAGAACAGTAAAGTGTCACAGCTTTGGGCGCCGTGCTTCATGTTGCTTTGAAATGGCCAGGATACACAATATAGATCTTGGACTGGCACTTTGTGCTGGTAAATAAAACTTCTAAGGCTAAAGTGAATTGAGTGGGATTAGTGTTGGTCAATGTGTAACTAGACCTGACCCCACTAATGGGGGAGGGAGAGAGGGCAGAGGACAGTCTGTAGGTCCCTGACACAGGCTGAAATGCTAGATTTTTGCTCAGTTGAGTAATAACCGTGGGGAGCTTTGTAGAGCTGGCTCCTCTCTGCAACCATGCTACTTCGAACTCCAATATCATGGGGACTTCTTATGGCCTTACTGCTCCCTCTAATCCAGGGCCACAATGGTAAGACGAAAGCTGCTGTACTTGGTATACTATAGTATCTATCGGGGGCTGAGGTTTAACCCTTTTAGCACTGGTCATTTGGCTGTACAATTTGCTGGTGTGTAGGATGGCAACATTGTATGAAGATCTTGGCTACCTTGTGTCTTACCGTTTGTATTGTTCTTCAAATAACAGGCTGGTTGAGGAAGCACCCACCCCCCCAGTGTATGTGAATAAGGGCAATGAATGGTCAATGAATATGTATCGTGTATAGTTGTATGCAGACTCTGATTACTGTGGAAGATGTGGACAGGGAAGTTCTCCATCCATGGTTAAACTATGGCCCCCGTGTTCCCTCAGCTAGCCTATCTTCAATTAAATGTATGCTGTGATCTCAGCTCTGCTAAGACTGTGCGTGGAAGTAGAGGAAAAAATTAGGAAGTGAATTTTGGAGGCCTATTGTATATGTTAAAAAAAAATATATTGTTTAAGAATTGTCCAAATCCACTACTGGATATTTTTATAATAAATTTTGTATGGAATTCAAAGCTATAAACAGATGGGTTTATTCTCAGATCTGTGAATTTCATTGGCTTCAGAATTGCACAATCTAGTCCAATATAAACTAACTTTAGAAAGTTTCCTACCCTGCACATTTTGGTCCATAATTGGTACCTGCAGTTTCTTTTGCCATTTAGCCATTAGACCTCCAATTTGTTTTTGAGTCGTACTTTTCCCTTAATCTGATCTGGGCATTTCTTTAAACAAACATTGACAAGGGACAAAGTGTATTTAGAGACTGGGAACATCCCCTCACCCTACCGCAACCTCAAAAACCCTTTTCACAATATCTTACTCAATCTGGCTACATACGTGGTACAAGTGTTCGCAATATATTTTTGGACCGATGTCTCCTAGCCCTGGAATCATTGAATATTCATGAGATATTTATTATTTTATTTATATAGCTCCATCAGATTCCGTAGTGCTGTACTATGGGGTTAAATTGGGCCATTGGATCTAAAAGATGTAACGATGTATCTGGTTTTGGAACGCACAATGAGTTATTAAAGAGGATTCAAAGAAAATTTCAAGATTCCGCATAAGACCAAGCAGTTCGATCCAAGGTGGAAGAACAGCTCCAAAGGACTCCAGGCACTATAACCACTTCAGTGAGATGAAGCAGTTACAGTGCCATTCAAGTCATAGACCTTTGGGTTTCGCACGCACTTTTACAAATATTGCATGTTTTCTGGTACTATGTTCTGCTCTTTCCGTCTTTATTTTTTATATTGTCTACTTTCTTTTTTATATATCTGGGTTAAACCAATTATTCACAGGTTTATTTATGAATCTGTGAACGCTTGGAAATTTTAAATTAAATTAGAATTTCACGTTTTTGATCAAAATATCTGAACTGAAGACACAGTGGACACTGGGAATTTTCCTATTAACCCCTTAAGGACACATGACATGTGTGACATGTCATGATTCCCTTTTATTCCAGAAGTTTGGTCCTTAAGGGCTTAAGGGAAAACCATGTTTTGAGTTTAGAGGTTTTATACTATTTGAAATACCCTTTTAATTCACACTTTATAAAGTTATTCAGTAAAGAGTAAATTAATTCAATTTCAAATTACAGGCGAAAAATATTCAAATTGTTAACATTCTGAAAATGAACATTTTCAGTTTGGGCCTGTCGGTCTAAACTTTGGAATTCACTTTAAATTCATTCAAAACCTCTCTTCACAATATTTTACTTAATCTGGCTCCATGCATGGTACAAGTGTTCGCAAGAGTCCAAGATTTCAGACTTTAGTAAATATTCCTGCCTTTCTTAAGTACAAGTATTTATTTGCTTGCGACTTGACAATTGCAGATAATTACAGATAATTGGGATTTGCATGGGATATTAGTGGCCAATCCTTTCTGAAGATCTAGAGAACAATTGGAGGCAAGATAACTTCTCATTGTTACATATTTGATTACATGTTTACGTACACTAAAACTGGAGTTTAGTTGAGTTCCAGGCACATTATATTAGCAGTTGCTGAAAAGAGCAACAAGTCGATTTAGATGTATACACTGACCAGCCACAACATTAAAGCCACCTGCCTAATATCGCCCCCTACTGAAGGTCTCCTGTGGTATCTGACACCAAGACATTAGCAGCAGATTCTTTAAATCCTGCAAGTTGCAAGGTGGGGCCTTCATGGATCGGATTTGTTGTTCCAGCACTGCCCGCAGATGCGCAGCCGGATTGAGATCTTGGGCATTTAGAGGCAGAGGAAACAACTTGAACTCTTTGTTATGTTCCTCAGACCATTCCTGAACAATTTTTGCAGTGTGGCAGAGTGCATTATCTTGCTAAAAGAGGACACTGCCATCAGGGAACATCATTGCCATGAAGCGGTGTATGTGGTCTGCATCAATCTCTAGGTGGATGGGACATGTCAAAGTAACATCCACATGAATGCCAGGACCCAACGTTTCCCAGCAGAACATTGCCCGGAGCATAACAGTGCCTCCACCAGCCTGTCTTTTCCCCATAATGCATCTTGCTGCCATCTCTTCCCCAGGTAAATGACACGCACCGGGCCATCCACCTGATCTAATAGAATATGTGATTCAATGACAACCTTCTTCTTTTGCTCCATGGTCCAATCCTGATGCTCACGTCCCCATTGAAGGCACTTTCAGTGCCAGACAGGGGTCATCATGGGCACTCTGACTGATCTGCGGCTTTGGCAATTTGAGCTACAGTAGCTTTTCTGTGTGATCGGCTAGCCTTTACTCCTGATGTGCATCAATGAGCCCATGAACCTGACACCGGTTGTCCTTCCTTGCACCACTTTTGGAAGGTTCTAACCACTGTGTACCAGGAACACCCCTGAGAAATGCTCTAACCCAGTTGTCTAGCCATCACTATTTGGCCCTTGTTAACCTCTCTTTTCGCTAGCCCATTTTTCCTTCTTCCAATACATGAAATTCAGGAACTCACTGTTCACTTGCTGCCCAACATATCCCACCCCTCGACAGGTGTCATTGTGACGATATAATCTGTTATTCACTGCATCTGTCGGTGGTTTTAATGTTATGGTTGATCAGTGTACGAGGTGAACTGATGTTCATGCATGAATTATGACTTTGGAACTTGTTCACTAAAACCGAGGATTGTGATTACTGAAAGCCACTGTTGGGAAAACGCTGAATTGTATTTTTTTGCAGCTTAGTTAGTTTGCTGAACTCTGCCAAATCAGTTTCAGCTTCACCACATTGATGTGTTGTTAGGGTTATAATTGGTGTGGAGTCTATAATTAGCATAAAAAATTCTAGCTAAATAATAACAGAAATACGGTCATATTGATCAGTAATGCTTCAGACCTGATGGAGAGATCAAAACGCTTGAACGTCTTTTAACTATTATCTTAGTCCAATAAAAAGGTATCAATGCATATTGCAATACTCTGGTTAATTAATCATCATGTTTACTGGGGTAATATGGCTAATCCAGTCTACATTCTATACAGTATATTCTTTTTGGGGTTACATTATAAATTAGATTGTAACCAAGTTTGTATTGGCTACTCATTGTGCAGCTCTGTGGAATGCGTCGGTACTTTATAACTAATAGTAATAATAACAAAACTGTGTGGCTGACTGTGGTCTAGATGTTTTAAGGTAGGAGAAGAAATGCTGTGTTAAACAAAGGAAATGTAATTTAATTTATTTTGATGATTCAGTTAATAACTTCCACAATAAATTTAGAACAGATTGTCCCCAGAGGTTACGCTCTAGTTTTCGGTGGAGTTAAAGATAAATATATTATTTTTCCTGTGTATTCATTGATCCAGTATGTTCATTCTTTGATGCGAAAAAATATGAGAATCTCCAGGTGATTTATCTCTCTATGGAGTGAAATCTGAGTCAGATGTTCATGCCTTTCCTAATAGGCCCCCTTTGTTTTCTGTAAAAACACAAACTTTGTTTGTCCCCATTGGCGTTTCACAATATAGGATTGGGCGGTGAATCATGCCCAGGTCAAGAGAGGTTTGTGAACTTTTTGGTAATAAAGTTGTTTTGCCCGTACATCTGGTCCTTGTACAGTTTGAAAATCCATATGACAAGCTCTGTTGTTTTAAAATTAACACCAGTAAGGTCAATAAATACATTACAAACTATTATATAAGGCACACACTAAGTACCAAAACTACTTTATCTCATTAAAGTAATTTCGGGGAATAAATGCAGAATTGCAGTTGAAATCAATACGATTTTTGAGAAACAACGCGGTTTTCTTTTTGCAATCAGAAACTAAGATCTCCAGACCAACGTAGATGCAGTAAGTGAATATATTTAACATCCAGGCTCAGCACGCAAAGAATGGCATCCGATACTAGCTGCGTGCACGCCATGCTTCTCTTATAGAAGCATTGCATTGAAAGCCCAAGGCGATGGCTGCACAGGCTCCACTTGTCCTCAGTATTTCTCTATGAGAACATCTGATTGGACTAAAGTCATCAATATTTATGACTTCAGTGAGGGTGGAGCTGTGGGGAGTTTGTCTTATCACAGAATTTCAACTTCTCTCTCCTAGAACAAGACGTACAGGCATGGAGATCTGCAGGCGTCTTTTACTGGATCTGATATCTGATAAGAAGATTAGATTATGCATTGTGGGTGGATAACGTAGTGAGAGCAGCCTAAAAAAAGGGGAAAAGAACCCTGTCCAGTTGAAAGAATGTTGATAGAAACATCACAGTTTGAGGTTTGCTAGCGGCCCCAAGACCCAGATGACTACCTGAGGGTTTCGGTTAATTTCTTATTGTATCAGCTAGTTCTCTGTTAGAACACATGGGTGTCCATCCACATACAATTTTTAATTTTCTGTAAACACACAAACAAATGTACAGTTTAAAAGATAAAGCAGATTATTCTCATTTATATGAGGCCAAGCCTGACCATAAAGGGACACAAAATCTTTATTCCTAACACTATAGTCTTAATATTAGATTTAGGCCCCCAGGGAGCGCTTTTAAAATTAAAAAGAAATCACTTTACTCACCTTCTTTCCAGCGCCGAGCCTCCATTGGCACAGCCCCCGGGCTCCTCATAATGTGATGTTATCTTGGAGACACAATGGTGCGCATGCGCAATGCTCACCACAATACATATATGATTCTGCCATACAGCATCACTGCATGCAATGATTCTCTATGACAGACTGCGATGGGGGGAGGTGGTAGGTCAGGGGTGGTAGGACTGAAGGCACTATAACAACTTAAGATGAAGTTGCTATAGTATAGTGCCTACAATGCTCCTTTAACCCAAGTGAAATATTGACACTCACATGAATTAACTTGGCATACAGTAAGCCACTATTTCAATAGACCATTCGTACATATTACATAAAGCAAAAAATGTGAGCCGTCGTGGAGATTCCATGGAAAGTGATACTTTATTTTAAAAATACATATGCAAAAACATGGTATTCCCTCATACCACGTGGGTGAGGATAAGCACAATAAATATAATTTAATACCAACACAAAGGGAGAATTTCACATCTGTGTTCACAGTTTAGTGAATAAAGCTCTTAGAATGTAATTAATATTCACATGAGTTTTTTGAATTTTTAATGTTTAAGGAATGAATGGAAGCATCGCTGTTCAATGACAATCCTCCCAGCTGACCATCTGTAGGTCCGTGTTTGGACCATAATCCATCTAGCCCTGTTTTCTGTACAAATGTCCCTCTTTGCTGTAAGCACAGGAGCTGTGCCACGGCAAGGAGTTTAACCATTTTTAACAGTCTGACACTTACTTGGGTTCCACAGGCACCTGCAGTGCTGTCATCTCCTAATAGGTTCTTATTACTCTTTAGCTATTTCAATATTGTGCAGTTTTTCACTTCATTTATTTAAAGTGTCAGCTGACGTGTCAATCAATGTATCGGTGTTACAAACATAGAAGTTTAACTTCTACAATAGCAATATGCCAAATAAGTCAAATGACTCACACAGCCTCCCTACACACTTCCTGAAAAACAATCTAACATGGTGATTATCTAAAGTGAGGACTGTTGGGTATTTATAGCGAATTCAAAGTGAAGACGAAAATAGCTGGAACAGAAAAAAAAAAATCTTCACGCTAGCGATGCTTCCAGTTCAGCTACTTTCAGCTTGAAGAGACACTTTAGTCACCAAAACAACTTTAGCTTAATGAAGCAGTTTTGGTGTATAGATCATGTCCCTGCAGTCTCACTGCTCAATTCACTGCCATTTAGGAGTTAAAGCATTTTCATTTTACAGCCCTAGTCACACCTCCCTGCATGTAGCTTACACAGCCTTCGTAAACACTTCCTGTAAAGTGTCATCTAATGCTTACACTTCCTTTATCGAACATTCATTATAATTTAGAATTTTGTATCTCATACTCTGTTAATAGCCTTCTAGACAGTGGTTAAAATTAAATCTTTTTTTTTCAGGCATGGTGTGTCAGTCACAGCAAGGGGTTGTGTTCCTAGGGCTGCATAAAGAAAGTGATTTAACTCCTAAATGGCAGTGAATTGAACAGTGAGACTGCAAGGGCAAGATCTATACACCAAAACTGCTTCATTGTGCTGGTTGTATTAATGCCTATAGTGTCCCTTTAATTTTGATATTTACTTTGAATTCCTTACAATTGTAAATTTAGTAACCTTGTACAATTTAAAATTTCCTTTATTGCACAGTGTGTTTAATTTAGAATTTATCAGATGTGAATAAACGGTTAATAGAGCAGGAGAACTTCTATTGTAAACACACTGTGCTGTTAAAAATTAAACCTTTTTTTCCACTGAAGCTGTGCAAATCACAGCCATGAGAGATATAACTAGGTATCATAAACAAAGTGATTTAAGAAGCATTTGATTGGACCATTTTCAATGGCTCAGAGCAATGTGTGCGCACTGAGTTGGAATGGGAGGGAGGAAGGGGATTAGTTGAAAAAAAAAAATATGCACAAATTAATGCAGGTAGGAGGCTGGGTATAAAAGCTTCACCTTGCAGGCACTAACTAAATTTTCGCCAGCTCGCTGACCTGTCCTCACTAAAAATGTCCCATTTTATTTTTAGAGGCTAGAAAAGCGAGTAAAACCCTAATATTGTTTAAGGGAAAAGGTGATGACTATAACAACTTTGTGAAGTATAACATTTAAGCTACGTCACCAAGCCAGGCAAGGCTATGCCCTGTGTCCATCATGGAAGGTGGTAGATATTTACTAAATAAGATACAGAGAATACAAGTGCAATGTCTAACCCAACACATACATTTTCTCTCTCAGTATTCTTAAACAATGAAAAAGCCTCTTCTGTCCTCAAGCGCTCCCGCAGAGCTAACTGGGGTTTAGAAGAAGCCAAGAAGGGGAACATGGAGAGAGAATGCTTGGAAGAAATCTGTAGTTATGAAGAGGCCCGAGAAATTAAGGAAAATTCAGACGCAACGGTATGGATTGCTAGAAATAGAATATGCATAAAATTAAACTGATTTTAATATAAGCATCTTTTAAACATTGTTTATCATTCGAGTGTCTCTGAAATCAGAGCGCATTGTCATTATCTCACATTCCATAAAAGCAACACTTTAAACTTCGCCCCTAGTTTTGGAGTTAGCGGGTTCATGCAAACAAGATGTAGAAAGACTGACCGTTACAGTCCACTTTGTACAAAGCACTTTTGTGTAAAAAAAACAAAACAGGACTGTCCTGCCAGATCCAGGACAGGTGGGAGGTATGAAATAACAAAACTTAATTTTAGAGGAACAATCAAACCTGTACAGTAGGTTTTACGAGGATCTGTAATCATGATTATAAAATGTGTTTTTTGTATGTCTGAACATGGATTTTTTTCATGTTTGCATATACTTTGATGCCTTAATTGTGTAAGACATGGGCGTTTGTAAGCGTAGTGAAACTTGTAGCAGTTGATTGTGTCTTTGCTAGTATGGTGTTAAAAATACATGCTATGGATTAGATCAACTGGTGCCACATCACTCAAAAATCATTTAAATGGGTTGCTTAGTAAATTTGTTTTTGTGTTTTAGAATTTTGTTCTGTATGGCTGTGAATGAATGCGTGTGAAGATAATGAAGTAATTTCTTTTTTTCTTTGTGTTATAGAAAATATTCTGGGATCTTTATCAAGGTGAGCGTTAACATTTATCGCGATTTGTGCATTTTAATTGCTGATATGTACGTAGATCAGACCAGAGAATGTAGAAATATTTTTGCAGGAACGTGTAACATTGCACCAACATAATGACCGCATAGACAATATCGAGTGCATGTACAATTACCGACAAGTAGAAAATAAAATCATTGTCAGAATTTTCATTCATAAAAAAAAAAAAAGGTGCAACATTTTCAGATTGCTGGAGATTATCAATCTGTTTTTCTCAGTGTAATCTGTAAAGTAATCGATATTAGATAATAGTTATTCAGAAGCACTGTTATATACCGGAGTTCCAACATTGGTTGTAAGGTTAGAGCCAAGTGGGATAACCCTAAAATAGAACAAAATTAATTCAAAAGAGAAAATAAAACAATATGCATCACAAGGGGAGCAGTAGTTACAAACCCTCACCACTTAAAACATATGTGAAACTTTTTTAAATTGTATTTCACATAAAACCCCATAATATTCAAAATATTTAAATGACGTATAGGCTGTAAGAAGATTAATTGATTGATACTTGTATTGATTGATCAACAATATCAAGAAACATTCATATTGGTGATCAATCAATAAAAGTATATAGGGACATCATACATCCCTGATTTACATAATCAATTGATTATTGTAATCTGTAAATTACACAATAACGTATTGTAATATTAATTGAATAAAAATTCTCACTGGTCCTCTACTAGGTCAATGATGGTAAACCTTGGCATCCCACATGTTATAAAATCAAGGCATGTAGGGCATCATGGGTAGGGTTGCCACCTGGCTGTTTTTTGAGGCTGTTTGGCTGGTGCTTGTATTGCAGGGCCAGTATTTTTCTCTGACGGGACGGGATGGGAAAGGGATATGTGCCTCTGTTATACACGACAGGTACTCACATTGCTGTTTTCACACAAAAACACACAGTCAGAGACATTATACACACAACACACACACAAACAGACACAGTATGCACACACTGCTATACACACGCTTAGACAAATTATACACACAATGTCACACTGCTATATAAACTATACACAAAATACTACACATATACTGAGGCACAGTATATACACACTGACACAAACAAACCACGTTCTCTGATTCCTCTCCTACAACCCTCTACCCTAAATTTACCTTTTGTGTCGCTATACTCCCTCTAGCATGTAAACTCATTGAGCAGGTCCCTCAATACCTCTGTTCCAGTGCGTCAAACTTGTCTGGTTACAACTACATGTTTGTTAGTCCACCCATTGTACAGCGCTGCGGAATTTGTTGGCGCTTAATAAATAATAATAATAATAATAATATGCACACTTTACACACAAAAACAGTATACACCCTGCCACAAACACACGCCTTCATACACACACTGCTACACATACAGAGTCAATACAAAGTAAATCATTTTTAGTGATTCATGGGGAATTTCCTCTTCTGAATGTTGTTTTTCTCTCCGTCACGCACTTTGATGTTACATAACATTCTGCGATGTCATGTCCTCTGATGTTGCACATTTATATCTAATTATGAAAATTGGAACCATCATTACTTTTTATTTCCAAGAAAGATGGCAACCCTAATCATGGGAAATGTCGTTTAGAAACATTTGGGCTCCAAAGTTCGGAATCCCGGATCTAGACTCACAATGAATTATCTTGTGTGCAGCTGAACACATAATTACTTTTGGAGCGTTTAAATTTAGAGATACAAAATTAAAAAAAAACTTTTAGATCTCCCCAACACACAACTCAAAATATAAACCACAAAAATAGATGGTAGTGGAGCAGTATTATTTAGTAAAAATTATTTCCCTCACCAACAGATAGATGTGAATATCTTATACTTCTACGTCCATATATGGCACCTTCAAATGTGCAAATGTTCAGCCAACTCAGGGATATATAGATACATAAAAAAAAAACAGATAATACAAATAATAGTGCAGTACCTTTTTTAAGCTGCAATGGTATAGTAACCACACTAAATAAAATCTTAGATGTTGTTTTTAGGATGATACTGAGGTGTGTCGAACTATAACCGTTTCCTTTACCTACAGCGTGTACGCCAGGAAAGTTATCCAGAGATGCTATGTTCAACTGTCTTCAGGGTGAGATTTCGTACATCTTACGTTACGTACTGGTGGAATCTCTTCAAAAACCAGCCTGGTGTATCTCCGTTCCTCTTTCATTCCGGTTCCTGTCATAATCTTTTAAAATCTAATTTTCCTCCACTTTCTGTCTTCCCAAACACATTTATATCACCATTTTCCACTGCCAATACTGTCATTACTTCCTCTTCAGTCTTCCAAATCACCTTCACTTTCCCTTTTCTTTTTAACACTGTTCTCCTCACCATTCTTTCATTTTTCCAAACCTTTTTAAGTTTCCTTTCCTCATTATTCTCTGCATGCTACATGGCTTTTTGCTTACAGATGTATCCGTTCTTAGCACTGTATTCAAACTGCCCCCTTTTATGCTCTGTTCTCGTGTGTCTGGTAGTCTCATCGTTACACTCTATCTCTCCCACCAATATTCACATCCTTTACTGTTAAATGTTCCTCAAACACTCTCTGTATTGTATCTGTTCAGCTATCCTTATCTACCTTCACTGGTCTGACTACCTTCACTTTCTGTCGTTTCTGTTAGACCTTTTTATCCTTCACCATTTTTATTGGGTAACCTTCCAGCCTCACTATCTCAGAGGTCAATTCCTGGCACTGTGACCACAGTTTGTCATCCTCCTGAGATTGATAAAATCATTAAAGAATTACTCCAAGCACCATAACCACTGCAGCCTGCTGTTATGGTGCCAGGAGTGCTGTAGTGCCTTCCCAGCCCAGGGTAAGTAGTTAAACCATTTGAGAACAATTTGACAATTTACCTAGTGTCCACCTGGTGCCTGCCGCTCCTCCTGTGAAACCAGAAGATCTTGCAAGGGCTAAGCTTGGCTCATTTGCTGACAGTGTCAGCTGAGCACCTACCTGCACCACCAGTCTAAGCTCTTGGCCTTTCTGTTGCGTCTCGGGTAATGTGGAATGGATCCGGTATTGGATGGCAATGATGAATTTCAGAATTCTCATTCTGTCTTGCCAACCAAAGTTTGAAGGATATGCTTGGCGTCCCAGGAAAGATGTGTTTTTATTAAAAAAAATACGAAAACAGACACTAGCTGGAGGCACTGTGTCCGAAGACTCTTTGAAGCATAAGATGAGCTGCAGTGGTTGTTGTAATTGAGTCCCATTTTTAAATTGAGTATTTCTAACATCTAGACCCCAAAACATGGTTTAAAACTAGCGACAAGTTAAACGTTAACTTTTCTGATTAAATACTTTCATATTATCACCTCTCGGCTCTACTTTTCCTTCTCCTCCATGTCCTCCACTTTCTCTGAAATCGTACTGGCTTGTACTGACTGAATTCCTTAATGTCTACCTTATGATTGACAGGTAATTGTGCAAGAGGCACTGGGAAAAATTACATGGGAAAAATCAGCGTGACAAGGTCTGGTCTTGACTGTCAGTACTGGTCCAGCAACTACCCTCACAAGGCAAAGTAAGTCAATGTCAACATGCGAATTCTGTAAACAGAAAAGGTGTCTGATCCCTGGCTGCGAATGGACTCCTCATTCAGAACTATTTGTTATTACATGTCACTGAAAAAAAAAATATTTTTTAAATACTGTAAATTTACCTGCATTCTCCAATTCCATGCTCCGTAATCTCATGTTGTCATTCTAAAGTCAGAAATACCTTTCTAGGTCAACAAGCATTAGGGGGCAAGTATGGCTGAATCATATTTTAAACAGACCCTTTTAATGGAAAATCAGTTGCAAATTATCACATACAGTGCACACGTCCCATCCCATCCAATACTAATTAGCATTAGTCTGTTAAAGTTGTGCAAAACTTGGACAGATCTTAGGTGAGCAGGTGGATGTGGCTCTGTGATTGACAAGTCAGGGGGTGGAGCAACAAGTGTCAAGGAAAAATATTTTTCCCCTAGAGACATTTAGAAAGTGAGAGTGAAACAACAGGGTTCTCATACCATAACCATGGTAAGATAAAGTGGTTATGGTGCTTAGAGTGTCCATTTAATTCTTTCTATGACTGCAATTCTTGGGTTCTAATTCTTCTTTGCTTTCTTAGGTTTAATCCATTCACACATCCAAATGAAAGCCTTCAAGAAAACTATTGTCGAAATCCTGATAACAACCCAAAGGGCCCATGGTGTTACACAAAGAATCCCACAGTACGTCAAGAGGAGTGTGTAATACCAGTGTGTGGTGAGTAATTCTCCGACACTCTTTATGGAGATCTGGAATAGAGGCATGTTTCTTCTCAATCATTTCCTAAATAAATATCATGTATAAGTCTCCTATAAGAACCTGAAAAATAACGAACTACTCTCAAAATAGCATCAAAATATGAAATAATTAGATATTAAAGTACCCAGAGATCCTTAATTACCATACGAGTCATAGGTTGACCAACCCTGATCTAGACTACACAAGTCTTCTTGTTATTACGTAGCTTTACAGATACTATAGTTTATAAAGTATTTATTTTATACTTGGTATAAATTGAGGTTTCAGGTAAATGTGACGAATTATGGTCTTGTCATATTCCTGCTCTTCCAAACCGACCCCTATATGTACTGTCACCCAGTGCTTTCATATAACACATGTACCTTCCTAATTCTATAAAATATCAATTGGATGGTTCGAAGGGTAAAGCCGATGGTGTACACAATGTCCGTGTAAGCAATAGAGAATCTGTTGACTGTTGTCCATGATTCTATCCCTGGGAGACTTGGCACTGGGATACCTGCCATTATCTAACAATGTCCACCATGCCTTTTTTCTTTCTTCTCTCTTCCTCTCTCTCTTTTCTTCTCGTCCATTCTGTCTACCACATTGTCCACTCTTTGCCTTTTGTCACGCCCACTCTATCCGTTATACCTTGAAAATTATGAGTTAGGGTCCTGTACATTGGTATATTAGAGTGTTCTATTTTAAATTCTCGCACTTTTTTTAAATTAATTTTTTAACCATATCTAGGAAATTAGAGAAAATATTATAATCTAAAGAAGGGAAAAAGATCAAAGTACCACAAGATAAATTATAGGAATCGCCTTCTTTGCCAGTGACCTCTCTATTTTTGGTACAGGTGAAAGTCGAACCACATCGGAACCTATATTGAGAAAAGTTGAACCCTCTACTGAAGAAGTAGCTTGTGAGGCAGACTATGGGTTACATTATGAGGGAAACTTGGCTGTTACTGTATCTGGGCTCCCATGTTTACCGTGGAGCTCAAACGTTGCCAAGGATCACAAACAGAAAGACTTCATGGCAGATGTCGAGCTGAAGGAAAACTACTGCAGGAACCCAGATGGAGATGAAGAAGGGGTTTGGTGCTATGTGTCTCACCCCAACATGACATATGAATATTGCAACCTAAACTACTGTGGTAAGACAACCATGCCAAGTCGCGCTGACTCTTTTTATCCATGGTTTGTCTTTCTGTGGATTGACCGGAGTAGTGATGACAGATAGACTTGTTTGCTCCATAAACCTATTCTTTCTGCTCTATCCCCTGGCAGCTGGGTATCCTAATTCAGTCTTAAACTGTTCAAAAAATGCATTAATACTGAACCTTGAGCCGGTGGGAAGGGAGGTACCATAAGCATGAGATAAAGTAGTACTGGTATCCCTTTAAAGTATTACTCCAAGAATCATTTACACTGCAGCCCACTGTAATGGTTATGGAGTCAGGAGTGGCCTAGTGACATTTTTTTTAACAGTTTGTCCTCTTACCTGGGTCATGTCCCTGGCACCAAGTCCCCTGTGAATCAGGTGACAGTAATCCAGCTTGTGCAAAGTTACAGAAACTGTTTTCTGATTCCGCTGGTCATTCATTGGCTGAGATTATCATCTCACAGAACGTGTCTTCTTACAGTGAGATGGGAGAACTAAATAGAATACATACATCACATTCTTACAACCTGTGCCTCTTTAATACGAGCAAAGGTTAAGAAGACATTTCAAGTATAGATATATAAAGCGAGAAGGACAGTAGGTACAGACCACCCCCTTCAAGTAATTTCGTGGGTATTGTGGAATTATATTGGGCGTAGAATGATGAGATGATGGTAGTGTCAAGGGTGTAGTGATAGAGTATCTGCACCAGGAAAATGCATTCTGTCTTACCCCCAAATGCAGCAGTCAGACCAACTGCAACCTGTGTCCCCCTCCCGGAAAAACGTAGGACATAGAGTGAGACCCATCGTATGGCAGCCCACTGTCTGCCTTGACTGTAGTTCTGGACACTAATAGAGTATAAGGATAGGATGGTATTCAATTTGTATTGTTACATATAAATTTATTTAGAGTGTGGTCACCAGTACTAAACCTATATTAGAGACTAATTTTAATTAAATCTTTCTTTTCACACCATGCTTCCATCCTACTTTGTTCTCAATCTGCATCTCCAACCTGTTGAATGATTGTCCGGACTTCTCCCTCTGGCAGACAGCCCTATAGACGAAGAACAGGTTGATACACAAGCAGGTCGCTCTGTTACTGCCGAACATCAAACCTTTTTTGATGAGAAGACTTTTGGCGCAGGAGAGGCAGGTTAGTAGGACTTTGGTATGTTTTAAAGTTAAATTAAGCAAAGGAGAGGTATGTGCCACTACCCCTAACAAGGGAAAAAGAAAAATATAAATAAATTTCTTCTAACAAGAATGCATATACAAAATGTCACAAAGGCAGCAGAAAACAAATGACTCCCTCAACCATGGCATCAATGTTCCTCCAATGCTGAACATCCTCATAATAATAGCAATACCACAATCAAGAGAACTTAAAAGAACTATAGTCACCTAAATTACTTTAGGTGCAATTCACTGTCATTTAGGAGTTAAATCACTTTGTTTCTGTTTATGCAGCCCTAGCCACACCTCCCCTGGCTATGATTGACAGAGCCTACATGAAAAAAAAAAACTGGTTTCACTTTCAAACAGATGTAATTTACCTTAAATAATTGTATCTCAATCTCTAAATTGAACTTTAATCACATACAGGAGGCTCTTGCAGGGTCTATCAAGCTATTAACATAGCAGGGGATAAGAAAATCTTAATTAAACAGAACTTGCAATAAAGAAAGCCTAAATAGGGCTCTCTTTACAGGAAGTGTTTATGGAAGGCTGTGCAAGTCACATGCAGGGAGGTGTGACTAGGGTTCATAAACAAAGGGATTTAACTCCCAAATGGCAGAGGATTGAGCAGTGAGGCTGCAGGGGCATGTTCTATACACCAAAACTGCTTCATTAAGCTAAAGTCGTTTAGGTGACTATAGTGTCCCTTTAATGGAATAAAAGAAGATATATCTGAGAATGAGTATCCTTGTAGAGCAGATTTATTACAATATTATGACCTTGACATGCCCACCATAATAAACAGCAGTGATAGGCGTTGTAACGAACACATCTCTGCACTGGGCATCTAAAAAGAGAGGCGGGGGGACGACGACGACAAAACGCCAACCCCCCAAAACTAAAGAAACTGCGACCAGAACGCATTTCAGTAGATTCTGTTCAACCCTTGGGAGCCACAGGTTCAAACCCCAGTAGGGTTGACTCAGCCCTTCATCCTTCCGAGGTAGATAAAATGATTACCATAAAATTGGGTAATAGTAACGTCCCCTGGATGTAACATCCCCAGATCGTACTTGGAAATCAGAACAATCTGAATGTACCTTTCCTGGTTAAATACTTTATTATTATTATTACTACTATTTCACGTCACTACTGAATGCTTTTTCAACATCATGTTGAGAAGGTGTCTAGTAGTGAAGAAAATGTGTTCAGCATGTGTAGCCACAATTGCCATCTGAGATTTGACACCATTCCTTAAAGGGATAATATCATGCCAGCAATACACGATAGTAGCCCTTTAAGGAATGGTCCTAATATGCATGACATGCGAGCATTAGGCTCTCACCATAAGAAAGCATTGAAGTTATTATGGTGTCAAGAGTACCATGCCACCCTCCCAGCAAAGTTAAAGGTAGTAAAACTGTTTAAGAACAGTTTGACAAATTTCCTGGGTCTGCCAATCTCCCGTCACCACCTTGAACCAGAGCAGGAATTTCCCGCAAGGAAGACCAAACTAGGCTGTGTCGACTGATTGGCTGAGAGTGTCAGCAGAGACCTCTCAGTCATTGAACATGGCTATGCTTAGCTCAGTGCTGAAGGTTTAATCTGGAAAGGAGGCCGTGATGAGCGTCTGGTGGACAGTAGGTAAGCAGTCAAACCATTCTTAAATGGTTGGTCTACCTACACTGGGAGGGTCTTGCACCATAACCACTACAGCAGACTGGTTACACAGCAATGGTTATAGTGCTTGTAATGTTTCTTTACTACTAGCATTCCACTGTGAAGGGAAAAGGAGATGTTATTTTATTTACCTGTCTGATAATGCTCAATACTATTTGTGCCATAAAGGAGTCCAGGTTAGCTATAAGTCCTTTATTCAGTTCTAATAAAAAAAAATGAAACAAACAAACTGCTGAAGAAACTTCATAAAATGTCAAAACAAGATATAGACAAATTTGAAAATACTATATGGAAGTGCAAAGAAACCTTCTGATGACAAAGGTATTAAATGATAACTATATGTAGGCAATGGAAGGGTCAATTTCCTAAAAGTGTATTATGGTGAATTAGTGACCAGCTTGTAAATAAACAGAGCCTTGTCTAATAGTTCGGTATTATGGATCTTTTTCTATGTTGGACTAAATGTAGCTGGTTGGTTAAAGTTTCCAAAATTCACAGTTTACTGAATAAGACAATCCATTTGGAGGAGAGAGGCTGTTTTCTTTAATGGCGTGTCTATGCTATGGTTGCAGTGTGTGGCCTGCGGCCCCTCTTTGAGAACAAGAGTAAAAAGGATAAGAGTGAAGATGAATTAATCGAGTCCTATATTGCTGGACGTATCGTTAAAGGGGATGATGCTGAACAAGGGAGCTCTCCATGGTAAAATATAAAGTAGTTGCTATACACTCAAAAATGTAAAGAAAACAAAAATCTGTTGCCCCACTACCCAATATAGATTATATGTCTAGTGCAAGGTGACCTAAGTTTATGGCTTGGGATGACGTCCTCAGCACTTAGTCTAAGGAAAATCTATACGTTGTGTTAACCGTTTTTTGTTTTTAATGGGACACTAAAGTCACCAAAACAACTTTAGCTTAATGAAGCCGTTTTGGTGTATAGATCATTTACCTTCAGTCTCACTGCTCAATTATTTGCCAGTTATGAATTAAATCCTTTGTTTATGCAGCCCTAGCCACACCTCCCTGCATGTGACTTACACAGCCTTCCTAAACACATCCTGTAAAGAAAGATCTAATGTTTATACTTCCTTTATTGCAAATGTTGTCTAATTTAGAATTTTTAATCCCCTGCTATGTTAATAGCTTGTTAGACCCTGCAGGAGCATCACGTGTAATTGGAGCTCAATTTACAGAGATGCACACTTTTGAATAAAGTTACATCTGATTGAAAATGACACTATTTTGTTTTAATGCAGGCTGTGTGAGCCTCATCCAGGGGAGGTGTAGTTAGGGTTGGATAAACAGAAACAAAAAGTGATTTAACTTCTAAATGGCAGTGACTTGAGCAGTGAACCTTCAGAGGCATGATATATACACTAAAACGGATTCATTAGGCTAAAATTGTTTTGGTGACTATAGTATCCCTTTTAATAATAATAATAATAATTAAAAAAAAACTTTAAAGAGAAAAATCTATTTTTTTCTATAATTTACAACTCTGACCACCCAACAGTGTCCCTGGGTATTCTGGAAAAGTGAAAAACAAAACAAAAATCACAAAAAATATTTGTATGTGAAGTACTACAACATCCTAGAAATCTTTAGTGCTGGAGTGTAAGGCTGCACATTGCTCTTTGTTATATGGTACTTCCACTGGGTGACTCTGCGTGTCTCTGCACAGGCAGGTGATGCTGTTTAAGAAGTCTCCCCAGGAGCTACTATGTGGGGCCAGTCTGATTAGCGATCGCTGGATACTGACTGCAGCCCACTGCATCTTCTACCCTCCCTGGGATAAAAACCTCACAACCGATGATTTCCTGGTGCGGATCGGTAAACACTTCAGAACAAAGTAAGACACCCGTCATAACACGTTGAGAGAACATTCACCATGGTGGTCAAGGCTGCAGCCCGGAGATTTGTTTGAACTACAATGCCCATGATTCTTTGAATAAAACAGCCAACGCCCATGATTCATTTAATGGAACAGATAGCAACGCCCATGTTTTTTGAATGAAACAGATATCCAGGGAATCATGACTGATAGCCAGGTGATCCTGGGAGTTGTAGTTCAAAACATCTGGGGGCCACAGTTTGCGCAGGCCTGGTTTAGACCAATAGTCTATTCCAACAGTACCTTTAGCACTCCAGATGTGCACTGCATGTCCCATAATGCTATTACAGCCATACCGCTGGCATGGCATCATGGGAGATATATTTCACAACATCTGGAGTGCAGAAGGTTGCCTACCTCTGGTCTACACCATCAATGCATTTTGCCCAATGTGTTATCAACTCTGACCACTCTGTAATATCACTGCATAACGACTCACTGGTGGAACAAAGAATGGTTTCAGAATATTGGCAGTCTGGCTGGTTTTTACATCAGCCATGTGGAGCAGCAAGGTACAGGAGGGAGGTACTATGGCATCACTTCTCTTCTGGTACTCTTCCCTCATTTCACTGGCTCATGTGAACAGTTGTATCAGGTTGTACATATAATTATTATAGGATATGTTTAAAGGGACACTGTAGGCACCCAGACCACCTCAGCTCATGAAAGTAATCTGGGTGCAGTGTCCCTTTTGCATTTAGTGCTGCAATGTTAACCATTGCAGTTCCAGAGAAACTACAATGTTTATAATTGAATCAATGTCTGCCTCCAGTGACTGTCTACCAGACAGCCACTAGAGGGCTTCCTGCATCGTAACAGACCTTTGGTCCAGTATCTGATACTGGACGTCCTCACACTCTGCATGAGGACATCTGCCATCAGATTTTTCCCCATAGGGAAGCACTGATTCAATGCTTTCCTATGGGGAGATCTAATTCACCCGCACATGCACATTAGCGCGGGACATTGGTGCTGGGTTAAGGTAAGTAAATAAAGGGTTTTAACCCTTTATTTACCAGGGAGGTGGGAGGCATAGGGCCATTGATACAGCGTTGTATTCCTGGCACTATAGTATCCCTTTAAGAACCTTTGCATTCTTATCTCCTCCCTTCCAAAATCAGTGGGGGTGAACTGTAGCATGCAGGTTCCTTAATATTAATAATACTGTGACATCCCTGCTTCTCCCCTCCTTAGTTTTGTAAACATTGTGTTATTCGAGCAGTAAGAATACCATACTATCATCAACTACAACTATTTCTTTCTCTGTAGATACGAACGGAAAATAGAGGTAATAGCTCTCCTGGAGCGTATTATCGTCCATCCGAAATACAACTGGAAAGAAAATCTCGACCGGGACATCGCACTGATGCAGCTTAAAAAACCAGTATCATTCAGTGACTATATCCATCCCGTGTGTCTCCCGACCAAGGAGATTGTCCAAAAGTATGAAGATACTGAACCGTGTGGGAGGAAACGTCTTTTATAGTGTTCCTACAAACAAAAACAAAAAGAAAGTTAAAATTGCATTTATTAGGAAGGAGGAAAAAAATAAAAAGTCAAGAATCCATGTTTGAATAGAGTACAACACATCCACAGGGTTATCACTAAATTCATTATTTTAGAAGAAAAAAAAATAGCCAGACTGTGACTACAGCGGAGTTAGATAATTCTTCCAGATCAGCTATTACCTTAGTCCTAAAACTGAAGGTGTTCATTCTTGGCTATCCGGTCGGTGCCTGTTGGGACTACAGTTCCCATAAATCTTTGCCAGGCAATAGCTGCCAGTACCATGTGGGAGATATAACCTACCAAACACAGGGTCTAGGCTGGAGACCCCTTTTCTAAAACCATTTAAAGTACATACAAGTCAAAATGTGATTCATACTTGTGCTAGTGAAATTGCAACCAGTGTAACTTAGATTTACAAGTAGAATACACAACCTAACAAAAAATGAACGTTACCCATAGAATTGGTTAATATATTCCATACTGAAGAACTGGCCAAAAGGCGACCCTCCCTCCCTCTCCCCCAGGTAAGGCTAGCAGAGAAGCATGGAGGTTGGCTACCACTGATTTATAGGTTAATGATTACCGTAAGCTCCTTGCAATTAATACAAAGACCCCACTGGCCATATTTTTCAAATCAGAGTTGGAAATGGTTGTATTGTGATGAGAATGAGGTCGGTCAGGCATAACTGCAAAATCAGGATTGTGTGAAAGTTCGAGATCTCGATGGACTCAAATTCTGTTTCACTATAGAATGGAGGATAGTACACTGTATATTTAAATAAATAAAAAGTGCAGGTTTTGTAATGTCGACCCTGTAAGTTCTGAAGCTTTATCCAGGCACGAGTAGCAGAGATTGAAAATGCGTTGGGTCATTAAGTCCTTTAGAGTTACGTATTAAGAAACTATGTTACACTGAACAGGCAATAGGACAAAATGAATTAAATTTTGTTAGAGAAAAAAATGTAATTTGGGTATTTTTAAACTAGAATGTAAATTATAAATTTTGATTCTCTTTCCAGCCTGCTGTTAGCTGGACACAAAGGACGCGTTTCAGGCTGGGGCAATCTTTACGAAACTTGGAAACCAGGCGGCCAGCAACAGCCACAGATCTTACAACAGATAAACCTTCCCATTGTGGAACAAGAAACATGCAAATCATCTACTAGGATCAAAGTGACAGATAATATGTTCTGTGCAGGTGAGGCACTACACTTTACCTCTGGAGGGAGGAGGGATTCCATATGTAACAAAAGGTGCATAATGTCGATGCTTGCTGTGACTTTAATGTGCCACATCAGCGCACCAAGTTCTCTTTTCTGACTCCTACTCAATGTTCCCACTAAGCAAGTTTAATTAAATCAGGCTAGTACTGAAAATCTATTACATTTAAAGCTGTAAAACAAAGTATGCACAGATTGTGATGAAACTCACCTAAAGTAATGGTTAATGTCCATAGTTATGTCCTATGAATAACTCGAATGGCTATTGTTGCAGGTTTCAGTCCAGACTCTAGCACCACTGGAGATGCATGTGAGGGGGACAGTGGAGGTCCGTTTGTCATGAAGGTAAGTGAAAATGCGATACGCTTCATATTTTTATTTGTTGCAAACATCAAGTAATACGGTCATTGTCCGTTGGAGTACATAGTAGCTCATTCAGTAAAGTGAGAATTCTTATGAATTTCACATTTAAAGCCAAAATACAGAAATGGAAAGCATAGATTTTTTTTTTTTCCCCCAGGCCATCTTACGGCCCCAGGCCATCTTACGGCTTTAACCTTTTTTTTTTATTTTTTTATTTTTATGTAAAATTCACAAGAATTTATTTGAATTCCTGACAATTCTCACTTTAGTGAATACAACTCTAACTGGTCAAATGAGTATCTGAAGAGGTCTATTTCAAAGAAAAAAAAATAAAACTCCTACAGGTCATTTAGGGAGCAAGAAAATTCAGTTGGTTTATTCCCATTTTGCCAATACTGGACTCCTGTACACCCTATATCAGGGCTGGCAAACCAGTGAAATCTATACAGTGCAGCCATTATTCTAGGAGATCAGACTAAATATGAAACCTGGTTCCCCATATCGTCAGAAGCTATATTGTCATAGATACAGCTAGTACCCGTGATACCAAGCACTTTAGAGGAGCAGAAACACAGCCTACTTAAAATGAGGGAAGTAGATCAGAAAGGGAGGGGGGTGGGAGCAGTATATCAGAAAGCGGGGGGTGGGGGTGGCACAGGTGGGCACCTGTTGTCAGTTGGTCTTTGTAGAAGATTGGGCACTCCGGCCCAAAAACCATTCACCATCACTGTCTTATGGCTCATCCATTAGATTATGGACTTTTGGTTTTGGAATGTAAGTAGGGTTTGAGACACAAACCTACACCCAAATATGACCAGATTGCAGTTATACCTTGGATCTTCGCTTAAACAAAACTTAAAGTGTATAATAAGAAGTGATTTTTTTGGGGGGGGTGGGGGGGGTGGTTTGTTTTAAAACACTCATTATGGGGAAAAAAAAATAATACACACAGTCACCTTGAAAAGTGATCTGACTCTTTGCAGGACCCAGTCACTAACCGCTGGTTCCAAGTGGGTATTGTCTCTTGGGGTGAAGGATGTGACAGAGCTGGAAAATACGGATTTTACACACATGTGCATCGTTTGAGGAAATGGCTTATGAAGATAATAGAAAAGTATGGAGCCTAAAAACGATGAGAAATATTAAGAACAGAGTTTCCCTTATAAGGAATTGGTGCAGAGTTTAATCTCCCTGCACGCTCTTCTTATTCATGAAGGACTAAAACAGCTGTATGAAATATCAAACTGGATCACAATACCTTACTGCTTTATCCCTTGAAATGTATTATTTGTTAATGTTACAATTAAATAAATATCAAAACAGAGACTGCTTACTCATTTCACATTTTGATGGAGGGCAATGGGCTAGCCATCAAGAAAAAGTCTAGAAACCTCTAAACAATGTGAACCCAAGATGTTCAATTAGGTGCCCTTTGTCATAATGTTTTGTACTGCACTTGTTAATGTCCAGGGCCCAGCCACCTTGACAACTTCCTTACGCAGCAGCTTTTTGGCTACGGATGAAGGTGGTTTAGTAGGTGTTGACAGAGCTCACATTTATCTTACACACACAATTATCCCATCTGATACAGTAGGCGCAATAGACTGTTTACTCCAAAAAAAACATCACAACTTTGGCTTATTCACAAAAACATCACAGCAAGTCCTGTGACTGAACGAACAGGTCAATAATCTAAGGTTTGAACAATCTCTTGAAGTCATTTTCCTAACTAAGCATGGCACAAATTAGAGCGGACGCTGTAAGAGAAGGTGATGTCCCTTTGTTACTCAGGGAATTGAGTCAGTTTTAAACTAGAGGGGCCCTTTAATAATCTGAGAACTGCAAAAAAAAAAAAAAATTTCAATGTGAGCTCAACTTATTTAACCCCTTAAGGACACGACATCTGTGACAAGTCATGATTCCCGTTTATTCCAGAAGTTTGGTCCTTAAGGGGTTAAAGAACTACAATTTACTATATATACACAATCCACCTTCATAGAACTGATCTCTCCAACTACATCTATGAATATTTTGTATTGTAAAGACATAGTACAAAAGGAATACGCTTATGGCTGTACTAGCAATCCAAACATTTGTTTTTGAACTTGGGAGCGTGCATTTAACACTTGACATTCCAGGTGTCCTCTCCATAAATGAAAGCTAGTTCACTTACCCATAGGTAGGTTCTCTACACTACGTAAACACCTTCACCCAAGGTGTGTCACTGCTTCACTCAGTGAAATGCAGCAATCATACAATACAATGCTTCTCGTTGGACTAATAATTCACTTAAACAATATTTCAAGCAGAATGTATCAGGATGTCCTTTTGACTGCCTCGGGGTGTTCCTAAATTGATAAATGTGCCAGTTTTACCACCCCCCCCCCCCCCCCCCCCACACTACTTCTAAAATGGGTGAATGATGATATGGTTAGAGGGACACTCCAGGCACCCAGACCACTTCTGCCCATTGGAATGGTCTGGGTGCCGACTCCCACTACCCTTAACTTTAAATATTGCAGTTTTCATAAACTGCAATAATTACATTGCAGGATTAACTCCTCCTCTAATGGGTGTCCACTAGACAGCCACAAGAGGGCACTTCCTGGTCTATTGCACAGGTTTTCTGTGCTATAGCGTCGCTGGACATCCTTACGCTATGTGAGGACCTCCAGCGTCTCTAAAATCACCATAGGAAAGCATTTTCAATTCTTTCCTATGGGGAGGACTAATGCGCGTGCGCGGCATTGCTGTGCATAAGCATTGCTGTGCATAAGCATTAGTTCTCATCCCGCCGGTGGCCACGCATGTGCAATCTGTCTCCCCCACAGGGTGAAGTCGGCAGGGAGGGAGCGTGGGCGGACCCTAAACGAACGAGGGACATCGGCGGTGATCTCAGTAAGTCACTGAAGGGGTTTTCACCCCTTCAGCAACATGGGATGGGGGGGATGTGAGGGAGAGGGGACTTGCAGTGCCAGGAAAACGATTTGTTTTCCTGGCACTGGAGTGTCCCTTTAATGCCAAAAACACATAAGCTCGTAGTCTGGAGAGTCAATTTATATGCTTGATTGGAATCAATAGTGTAAGGAATTGAAAGTTTCTTTAAGACTAAATGGGACAGTGACACTGCACCCAAACCACTTCAATAAGCTATAATGGTCTGTGTGCCTATAGGTTTGTCTTCTTAAAAGTTAAAAAAACAAAACCATTCACCATAAATTGGAGCTGGAGCACCAACCTGATGCTGTCCTAATACACCAAAAAGAAAAGGCAGTCCTTTAGATTAAAAAAAAAAAAAAAAGTGGATAGACACACTGAGACACTGCACATGTGAATGCACACCACTTAATTTATACTGGTGATGGGCTTACTCATGTTGATGAGGCAAAGAATAAACTGATGCAAATTTTTTAATTTTCTTTTTTTATAGTGCCTCTAGTTTCCCTTTACAAAGCAGAAGCCATCAATACAGATCACCAGCTCCAATATTTAATCTGTTGATCACAACCCAACAACTGCAAAAATGAGACTTGTCCATTATTTCAAACTTTATTTACAAAAAGAATTCATGCCATGCCTTACGATTCCATACAGAATCAGCGATCCACTGCTTTGTTAAATTAAAAGCAAGTCATACAGCCACAAAGCTACAAAGATAAGAGCCATGGAAACGGACAATTAAAAACAGACAAAGAAAAAGAAATTAAAGGAAGTATAGAAGATCAGTTAAGGACAGGTAAACAGTCTCTGTACACTAAAACACAGTTAGAACAGCAAGATATTTACAAATACTCAGCCACAATAAGTTCTCCTGCCTCGATAACAAATAATTGCACTGTATGATACATAAAACAATAGTTTACATTAGGCCTAGACAAAGCCATCGAGCCAGGGAAAGGACTCCTAGGGAAGGATTAAAGGGACAGAACAGCAGCCTGGAGCAGCTAATGAGTGTTTATTTTCGACTGCTTTTTATCCTTTCCAGTCTCTTTTTCAAGTCGTCAATGTTGGTTGCAGAGGAAGAGGACGATGTGGTGCTGGAGCGTGTCTGGTTAGAATCCAGATCCAAGTGCTGGAACTGCTCACGAGACTCTCTCAGCTGAGACAGCTTGCTATGCAGCATATCCGTGGAGGACACAACCGCTGGAGCAGAGGACTTTGAGAGCAAGGAGCTCAAAGGAGGCCTCTCCTCTTGCTGTTTGGGACAGAGAAAGCAGTGGAGAAAGTTAGGGCATTGTAAACTCTTTCTTCCCATTAAGGTCTAAACCTGTTACACACAAGGCAATTTCAGTCATGCTCTATGGTATAGGTCACCTTTTACATCTCTACTAGTATTGTCTAAAGGAGTTTAACCCCTTAAGGACACATGACATGTGTGACATGTCATGATTACCTTTTATTCCAGAAGTTTGGTCCTTAAGGGGTTAAAGAGCACTTGTCCATATAGGGGTTACAAGTGTTAGCAAAGAGCACTAGATTTCAAAACCAAATAACCTCTGCAAAGAATAAAAAGGAAAATTAGCGAGTTGCCAACTTGGCAGGCCAGAGGAAGCTTCTCACCTTGGCATTGTCTAAACCACACCTCTGGCGCAGGATTTTCAGTCGTTCCAAGTAAACCGAGGGCCCAACTTCCTCTCCATTAGAATTTGCATTTGAAACTAGTGTTGCGGAACTTGTCACTGTGGGTGCAGGTGTAATCTCATTCACAGCAGATGTGATTCCTGCTGAACACCATAGAAAGTATAAAATGGCTGCCTAGTTTGCTTTCAAAATTATGCCACATACGCAGATTATAGGATGGTTACTGCTTATGCAGATTATTGCTGAAAACAACTATACCTGTTGACGATGTAATGCGGCCTTTTCCTTCCCGTTCCATTTCAATCAGTCTGAGCCCACGCTCCACATAGCTCTGGAAAAACTGTGATGAGTTCTTGAGGAAGGGCTCTATGTCTGCATCAGAATATTTCTTCTTGTATTCATACAGCTCAGCCAAGCCCTATGAGAGCATCCAGAGGAAAACATGAACGTACAATTTCTGGAATAGTCTACTCTAGGATTCTGGATACCAGACCAAAAAATAAACAATGAAAGGTGCTCCCCCCATATTTGGATTTACAATAGTGTAATTTTACCAGCATCTTGAGACTAAAACCTCTACAGAACAGGAGCACTAGACTAACTTTACAAGGGCACTAAGCTCACCTCCTTTGTGTTCTCCTTTGAGCCAATCTTCTTAAAGATCTCAGCAAGAAAATCACTAACGTTGGCTTTTGCAGCTTTTTCTTCCTAAAGAAAAAAAAATATATAGAAAAATTAAGGTGGTGCAGGCTGGATTAAATTAGCCATATATTTAAAAGTCGGCCTTAAACTGCACTTCAATATAATGTATTTATGCATTTTCTGTGCTTCTGCATCACTGTTTTAGTGAATGTTTTCCTTAGAAATATACACAACATAAGCAGTCAGGTAAGTACAAAAGAGGCGTTAGGCTTTTAATGAACTTGAGCTCCATAAGAGGATCACAGCTCGTGCATCAACCTGGCGATGCCGGCCAGTTCAGCTGGTCTTGGTTCTGTGTAGCACCAGCAGTGGTTCTGTCTGGGGGAGCTCGGCTAACAGAACTAAGGGGGTCATTTTACAGCTGCCTGGTGCACTAGGTGCTAAAGTTTGAAACGTATTGCTGGTCCAATGTTTGTTTTTTTCAACCTGCTTTACATTTAGCGCAGATTAATACAGACCAAGGTGCACTTGTACCCATAACAGAACATGGAGAAAGATCTGTATCAGCGAAGTCTGAGATTAACATGTCTGTCTCCTGTAATTTTTGCCCCGATAGTTGCTCTATGAGCGTTAAATATTTCCAACCCCTTAATGTCACCTCAATGACATGGTTATGGGGCCAGGAGTGAACCACTTATCGCAATGGGAGACTAGTGACATGCTGGGCATGTTACATAGAATGTGACGGCAGTTAACCATTCCGCCCAATTTTCTAAATACTTTCATTAGTCCCTGGCCTTATCTTATATAGTTAGGATAGCCTTATGCCTATCCCACACATGCTTAAACTCCTTTACTTTGTTACTTTAGCTGGAAGGCTATGCCATGCATCCACTACCCTCTCAGTAAAGTAACACTTCTGATATTTTTAAACCTTTGCCCGTCTAATTTAAGACTATGTTGTGGTAGTTTTTCTTCCCTTTATGTATTTAAATATTTCTATCATATCCCCCCTGTCTTGTCTTTCCTCCAAGCTATACACGTTAAGATCCTTTAATCTTTCCTGGTAAGTTTTATCATGTAATCCATGAACCAGTTTAGTAGCCCTTCTCTGAACTCTCTCTAAAGTATCAATATCCTTCTGGAGATACGGTCTCCAGTACTGCGTACAATACACAAAGTGAGGTCTCACCAGTGTTCTGTATAATGGCATGAGCACTTCCCTCTTTCTACTGCTAATACCTCTCCCTATACAACCAAGCATTCTGCTAGCATTTCCTGCTGCTCTATTACATAGTCTGCCTACCTTTAAGTCATCAGAAATAATCACCCCTAAATCCCTTTCCTCAGATGTTGAGGTTAGGACTATCAAACTTTTCTAGTTTACCTAAATCATTTGCCATTTGGCTTATCCCTCCTGGAAATCAAACTGGTTACATATCTTCATATCATCAGCAAAAAGACATACCTTACCATAAAGACCTTCTGCAATATCACTAATAAAATTAAAGAGAATGGGTCCAAGTACAGATCCCTGAGGTACCCCACTGGTGACAAGCCCATGCTTCAAATATACTCCATTGACTACAACCCTCTGTTGCCTGTCACTCAGCCACTGCCTTACCCATTCAACAATATTGGAATCCAAACTTAAAGATTGCAGTTTATTGATGAGCCTTCTATGTGCAACAGTGTCAAAAGCCTTACTGAAATCTAGGTAAGCAATGTCTACTGCACCACAAAACGGGTCACAAGAGTATTCTGAGAACGGATTGCAGTAGAAATAGCCTGCCACTCAGTGGGTCCCCGCTCAGAACTCAAGCTGGTTTTAGCTCATCTTGTGCCATTACAGAGATCACATATCTGAAGCATATCAGACTGGTCCCACCGATACGGGCAGTCCAGATCCGAAATGCCAGCAAGTTCTCTCTGCGTGAGAGATACAGCAACCCCAGACGATTGTTTCAGCCTTGTTAGGCATCATCAGTGAGGCATAGCTGATATCTCTCTAGGCACCGTGAGCAAGGTCTACTGCACCACCCTGATTTAGTTACACAAAAAAAAACACAAGAAAATTAGTATGGCATGATCTCCCTGAAGTAAACCCATGTTGTCTCTGATCTTTACATCCATGTGATTTTAGATGTTCAACAATCCTATCCTTTAACATGGTTTCCATTATTTTTCCCCACTAGTGAAGTAAGGCTTACTGGCCTATAGTTGCCCGACTCCTCCCTACTACCTTTCTTGTGAATGGGCACAACATGCGCTAACTTCCAATCTTCTGGGACTATTCCTGTTAAAGGACCACTCTAGGCACCCAGACCACTTCAGCTTAATGAAGTGGTCTGGGTGCCAGGTCCAGCTAGGGTTAACCCATTTTTTCATAAACATAGCAGTTTCAGAGAAACTGCTATGTTTATGAATGGGTTAAGCCTTCCCCTATTTTTTTTCTAGTGGCTGTCTCATAGACAGCCACTAGAGGCGCTTGCGTGCTTCTCACTGTGATTTTCACAGTGAGAGCACGCCAGCGTCCATAGGAAAGCATTATGAATGCTTTCCTATGTGACCGGCTGAATGCGTGCGCAGCTCTTGCCGCGCGTGCGCATTCAGCCAACGGGGAGGAAAAGAGGATCGGAGGAGGAGAGCTCTCTGTCCAGCGCTGGAAAAAGGTAAGTTTTTCTCCCTTCCAGAGCCGGGCGGGAGGGGGTCCCTGAGTGTGGGGGCACCCTCAGGGCACTATAGTGCCAGGAAAACGAGTGTTTTCCTGGCACTATAGTGGTCCTTTAAGGATTGGTTAAATAAATCTGTTAATGGTTTTGCTAGTACACCACTAAGCTCTTTTAATAACTTTGGGTTTATTCCATCAGGTCCCATTGACTGGTCTTTAGTGATGTCCCGAACGCCGCGGACTCATCATTGAGTAAACTTTGACCCTGTACCTCACGGTCAGCAGACACATTCCAGCCAATCAGCAGCAGACCCTTCCTCCCAGACCCTCCCACCTCCTGGACAGCTCACTAAGAATGCAGCTTCAAAATGGATGCTGTCCAGGAGGTGGGAGGGTCTGCTGCTGATTGGCTGGAATGTGTCTGCTGACTGGAGGTACAGGGTCTATGTTTACTCAATGAGGAGTCCGCGGCGAACCGTTCAGGACATCATTACTGGTCTTTACTTTTGACAGTTGAAATAGAACCTCTTCCTCTGTCAACTCACATGTAACAAATGACTCATTTGTCCTTTTTCCTAACCTTTCCTACATTTTCATCTGTAAATACCGAACAAAAATATTAATTGAGACAGTCAGCTAGACCTTGATCTTCTTCTACATACCTTCCTTTTGTTTTTAATCTAATCCTTTACTTTCCTTCTCATTTATGCATCCAAAAAAAAAAGTCTTTTTTTTTTACACAGATGGTGTGATTTTCTCGTGTGTGATTTGGAAGCTCTTATAACTTGTTTAGCCTCTGCTTATAGATCGGTCTTTTTTTTTAGAATTACTCAATGCCAACATGGCTTCCTTTTCCTCCATCTCTAGAATCAGATATAGAAGTATAGGTGAGCTTTTTATCTATATAATAAGAGTGCCTAATGGCTATACCTGTGTGAGGTGGCATACACACAATCCTACCGATCCATGAAACACTGATCCCTGAAGGCAAGACTGTGCCTGGACACTGCCCTCTCCCCCCCATAACTTTGATGTTTCTTTAATACCTACTGTACATTGTGGGCAGAGAGTACCAACTGCTTGGCTACTGATCAGAGTAAAAGTGCCTCTAAGTCACGGTTTTTGGGAATGTGGCTTGGAGGCTGTTCTTGGGCATGGAGAAATCCCTGAATTTCAAAGCCTCTGTTAAGGTTGCAGTGGCTGATCTGGCTAGTGCCATGAACCCTGAAGCTGAACACTGCTGACCATGTATCTAGGTCCCCTATTTTTCTAACTTTCAATTACTATGTCACTGGTTCCCTGCTTAGCTTTGAGCACTAACTTTCCAGAGTTTGATTCCGGTTAAAAACTGGTCTTCAGGTGCAGAGTACTCTTAATGCTATAAGGAGGCTCAGAGGTGCTGGATCAATTCCGTAAAAACTAAAATTTAAAAAATATGGAGGCAATTTATATATAAATGTTTTTATAAAGTGTAAAGCACAAAATGAATGTGCTAATACATGGCTCTTTTGATGGGACTTGAGAAACTTTAGCTATAAAAGTAGCTTTATTTTTCACTGAAATTCCAACACAGTCAAGAGATACTAAGACAAAGTAGAGACTTTGAATCCATTCACTTACTAGGCGAGAGGCTCCTTTCTCAGTTTCCCTGTCAGACTTTGATCCCGTACTGTCCATTGAGTGCTTCATGACTCGCAGGAGGTGGAGCTCGAGTTCAGACTCATTCTTGTTCTCAATCATACTTAGATGATCCATGATCTGAAAGAGAATCAGGGAGAAGTTTCTCACATTACAAACTACCTTTAATTCCCAGGGGGCAAATTGGCAATAAAGCACTTCTGTATTTGTAGTTGATGTATAGTATAACAAACACACTATAAAAACAAACATTCAGAGTAGAAAATATATGCATATATCCAATAGACAAATTCTATCAGATTTGTGATATTTAGTTGTGGAAGATATATACCCTTTATAAAAAATAAAAAAAATAAAATAAAAACCACACATGAATTTTATAACAGTGGTTATACTTTTATTCCTGCCTTTGTTTTCAGAAGGACTAGGATTAAACAAATAATCCCACAACCTATCACCTACAGTCTCCCCCCTCCATCTCTGATCAGCTTTCTAATTCACAGGTTTACGTTGTGATGCAGTTTATATACTCTACAAGGACTTCCTTGTCAGCTAAACTCCACTGAAAGGCCAGTGCAGGGCTGAGGGACCTTACCTTGGGTCCTTTAAGCTTGCAGAGTGTGTGCAGCAAGGTTTTCAGAGTCCTCATTGGAAGTTCACTCTTGTGCTGTTTCAGCTTTTCCTTTGGGAGAACCCTCATGAAGTTGTGCATGTCAAGTAAGATCCGATCCAGATTGATGTTATTTATAGCTTCAGGGAGGAGTCGAATCATTCGCCATAAACACTAATTGTCGAGGAAAAACAAAAGCCCAAGGGTTTAAATTAAGGGACAGTTGTGTTTGACCATAACTTGTCTTTTAACAAACCCATATTACATGGAATACATCTGGCTTATGGTTTAAACATTTCACCACACACTATGCACCAAAAATTACAATAAAATATCAACACTCAAATACAGATGTGCCACCTAGGTAAAGATGGAGAATATGGTGAAGGAGTCATGTCCGATGGTAAATTGCTTTACACTTAAGACAAAAACATTTAAAAACGGGGAGGACGACGAGGGTTAATCTGATGCTGCAGCTGCTTGATATCCGCGGTCTCCCTCCACACAGAAAATTCAACTGCAGTCTGGGTCGTGCATGTGCCAGAACAACATTTTAGGAAGTTCACTGAAGAGGTTTAAGGTAGTTATTCCTTCTGGATGGTTTGTTTGGTGAATTTGCTGCTGAAAAATGTTGGTTAAACCCTGATCTTTATCATAAAAAGGTAAAGGAATTACTATAATTCAATATTAAGAGGTTTTTTTTTTTTTAAACATAAGTTTTGTTTTGCTGGTATATGTTTGTAATTCGATTGCTTAGTAGCGCTTTGGTGACCATGGCTTCCTTTTCCTCCACCTCTAGAATCAGATATAGAAGTATAAGTGAGCTTTTTATTTATATAATAAAAGAGTGCCTAATGGCTATACCTGTGTGAGGTGGCATACACACAATCCTACCGATACATATCTGTACATATATTGCAGCCTGGGAGAGAATATTCTAGAGTGCCATGATACCAGGAGATATCCGACTGCCAATTTGGGGTCAAGAATGAATTTGTTCCTAGTTTGTTGCAAAATTGGAAACGCTTCAGATCAGAGAAAACATAGGAGAGAGACTGAACTTGGACACAAGTTTCTTTTCAGCTAGAGGCCAGTGAGATAGCTCAGCGGGCTAATACATCAGTAGACCATTCCCCCCCCCCTTGAGGGTTGCAGGTCCAGATCCTGGCATTGTTGACTCCACTCTTCATCCCTCCGAGGTAGATGAAATAAGTACCATTAAAAGTTGGATAATCGTAACAAACCCTGGACATACTTAGAAACCAGAGTAATCTGAATGTACCTTTCCTGGTTACATATATTTTTAATTTTTATTATTTAGCTATGTAACATACTGGAAGGAACAACAGAGTCAATCTTCCAAAACCCAAAAGATTCATTCGGCAGGTGGCAGGAAACATTTAAGGTAGGAGCCCGTCTTGCAAAATGTAATCGAATCTGGTTCTTGCACATCACAGATCTTTCAGTTCTGTCAGTTATAGAGAAAATGAAAAATCTATGAAAATGCCTAGAAAAACTCCTTCAACAGGAAGTGATTTGTTATATTTCTTCCAAAGAAAGATTCCAAGGAATTTATTCTTCTGTTTTTCTTGCTCCAAAGCCATCAGAGAAATGTAGAATTTTTTTGGATCTGAAAAAGGTGAACTCGCTATGAAAGAAAGAACTTTCAAGATGGAGAGTCTTTAGACTATGATTTCTCAAATATATATCCTACAGAATGGCTAACCTCCATAGATCTTTAAAACACATACTATCACATCCCTGTAGCACTTGAGCACAGACTGTATCGAAGGTTCAAGATTTCCCAGACAGTAATTTCCAATTCCTATGTATGCAGTTTGTTCTAAGCTTTGCACCCAGTACATTCACAAAGATACTGATCAGCCTAAATGCTCTATGGGAATAACGAATCAGAATATTCCATTATCTGGAAGATATACTGATTGAGAACAAGTCAAAAGGAAGACTGATAAGAGATACTGAGACAGTCATTCAGGACTTACAAGATTTCGGCTTTATTATGAACTTCAACCATCACAGGGAACAATGTCCCCAAATATCGGTTTAGGGAGGTGGGCACAATGGAACCGGAGAATAACACCGAACATTTTCTTAGAGCAGTTCAATCAAGAATAGAAACAAAAGATCTGGATCAAAGAAGAAGTAAGAATGTCTCTTCAGTGGTGGATGAACGTAGAAAATATCAGGAGAGGCTTCCTGCTAAGGGACCCGGATTCGGAATTAGTGACCACAGATGCCGGGGAAAAGGTTGGGGAGCTCAATACATATTCCAGGATAAATGAACAATGTCGCCGACACTATGTACATCCAGGAGAATGGAAGCGGAGTTCAGAAACGGTCAAGCAGACATGCAATCTTTGATAGATATAGATCTGATGGTGAACTACAGAAACAAGCAAGTTTCCAATTTTCTCTATTCCATGAGATTTGACCCAAGAGCAAAGATGCCCTAAGACCGAGATGGAATTTTTCACTGGGATATGTATTCCCTCTCCTTCCATTAAATCCCAGATAACTTTCAAAAAGACCTGGAATGAAAATGTAGAGGGGATCGCTATTATTACCCATTGGCCAAGGAAGCCTTGGTTTCCACTGCTGTTAAGTCCGTCACAAGGCACCGATTATCACAAGGCCCAGTTCTCCACAAAGATCCTGCAAAGCTCTAAAGGCCTAGAGATTGAGAAGAAAGCTAGAGGCTTATCAGATTATGTAGTGGAGACTATTCCCAAAGCTAGCGGTCACACTACGTCAAAAAGTATACGATAGAATCTAGAGAGTTTATGTTGACCTTGGGAAAGTTTCTGAAACTCTTAATCTTCCTTATTTGTTGGAAGTTTTACAAAAATGGTGTGAGAATGAAGGTTTGAACCTTAGTTCTCTTAAAGTACAATTATCTGCGTTTTCCCCCTGGCTGTCCTCCTATGATTAAACGGTTTCACGAAGGAGCAATAAGAATTAGACCATCTGTTAAACCCCCACACTCCACAAATTTAAAAAAAAACCAAAAAAAAAAAAAAAACACAACCCCACAAACTTCATCCCAACATGGAACTTGCCTACAGTTTTGCATAGTCTGACAGGGACACCCTTTCAGTCTATGGATTCTTCATCTTTAGGGGTCTTAACACTGAAATGGGTTTTTCCTTGTTGCCATCACCTCAGCCAGAAGAGCTTCAGAATTACAAGCTCTTTCATCTGATCATCCTCTTACTCAATTTGTTGGAGATAAGGCGGTTCTAAAGTTGGTTCCAATATTCACTCAAAAGGTTCCTTTCCTAATTTCACTGGAACCAGGAGATTATCCTACCTTCTTGGGAAAACCTTTCTTCTGAAGAAGAATCCCTTTGGCATATTTGGATGTGGTTAGGTCTTACGAATTAGTAAGTCAAGTAGATTTTATTGTACCTTTTGGGTTACCATAAAAGTATATCTGCTTCTGTTTCTACCAACAGGAGATAGATTACTTCTGCGATTCAGAAATCTTACAGTCACTGACAAACCAGTGCCGGAAGGTGTTCACACGCTCGGCCTCTTTGGTGGATACTTCTACAGAAGAAGTTTGTAGGGCTGTCATCTTTCAACACTTCTGTGAGGCACTATCGCCTAGACGTTTCAGGCTTATCTGCCTCCTCATTTGGGAGAAATGTCCTACTTCCACAACGGTTTGATTACATTTGGTTTAATATTGGTTTGGTATAATTGTTTTTGTTTTACCACCCACCCTTTACTTTTGATTGGGAAGTTCCACAGGTGATGTATTGGCCAAGAAAACTGAAAATGGTTACAATACTAATAGTAATTTTCTTTTCCTGGCCAATATCCATGTCAGCATCAATAAACCCTCTTTTTTCTGGACTGACTTGGTTACGAGACTGCTTATTCTGGGGAGGTGGATTCCTTATATCCCATCATTTGAAATGTAGATTCCAGTTCTTTCAGCTGGGAGGGAGGAGCTAACCCACAGGTGACGCCAACATGGATAATAACCAGGAAAAGAAAAATTACAGTAAGTATTGTAACAATGTTCTGTTCTGTCAGCCTTACCTTGTTTTAGTTTAAAAAAAATTAAAAAAAATCTCTTGCCCTACTCACACACCTATTTTTACAGTTCATATTTACATCATATGTCATTGTTACCTTATGTATGAACTACTGCACTACTAAAATCTATATCTTAAAAAAAAACAAAAAAAACAAAAAAAAACACTAAAATAACCCAGGCCAAATGTCAACTAAAAAGGCAGTTCCTGTAGGTGTAACCCTGCAATTTAAAAAACATCTCAATTATGTTTTTAAACCAAGTTTACATTGCAGGGGCAAATCCTCCTCAGCCACTGTAGGCATTCCTGCTGCAGCAACAGTTAAAAAAAAATAAAAAAAAAATAACTCCAGCCCCCATAAGGAAGTATTGATTCAAAATGTGATATGCATGGCACTCGCAAAATAAGTGCATCAGGTCCCCAAACCTCTTGTTTGAAAAGCATAATCATGGACTTGTCTGCAGGAGGAGTATAGATATTTTTATGCCAAACTGTGTGGACAGAAAATGGCAGAGGGCAAATCTAAGAAGCTGAATAGTGATAATAAATAGCTTTATGTTAAAGGTGACACTCCACTGTCCATATACAAAATATATATATAACTTGAGTAGCTATACCCCAAATGAAGCAAGCACTCCCATTCTAACCATACCCAGACTTTGTGACTGTCCAATCACAGACTTCCCAATGCAACTCAATGAAAAATCTTTGCAAGGCAGGTGCTCTGGGTAATTGCTGCCTCTTGAGTTGAGCTTCACTGAGTTAACTAAACCAGGTAACAGGACCAGTTGTCTGCTTGAAAAGCCAGGGGGTGTAACCTGTACAATTTAGAAAAGTGTACATTTCTATTAAAATCTGTAATTTCCATGTGAAGCTTTTCAGCAAGCTAAAGTGCATTAGGGGTCAAGAGTGTCCCTTAAATAGCAGCTGTAGAGTTTACGTGGTTTAACATAGTTTATTAGAAGGATGCCAAGGCAGGAAAATGTAAGAAACTAAAGGAATCAATTGTTCAACACATTATGGAAGCCTCCCTTCTAATAATGAAGAAGTGGTGTAGAGAAGACCATTAGGGTGGCAAGTTAGACACTGCATGCACATTGAACCAAGAACAAGGCAAAGTTTATGAAAAATGGGCACGAGAATTACTTGCAAAAAAAAAAAAAAAATGCACCATTTACAGATGAGAAATTATCTATCATACAATCCGTGCATAATAACATCTTATGGAAATGTTGGCTCTAAGCTGTACGAAAATGTTGCATGGATAAATATAAAATGTATAGTGTAAAAAGTTTACCTTGTACTGCTACAAGTCAGTTTAATGGAACACTTTACACTCACCTTCATAACCAGCTCAGAGAATTTGGGGGAACTGGCTGTAGCAAGCAGACTGTCCTGGAGAAGCACCAGCAGAGCACTGTAAAGACAGAAAATGTAAGACAGGACACAAATGGTTTCACCTCAACAGGGACTAAAAGATTGAGAACCCACCTCAATATGTTTGTCTGGTCAGATTTTTCCAGCACCTTCACAACCAAGAGGTTCACAGAGCGAACCACCTGCTGCCCCTCCTCAAGTTCGTCAACACGAGTGTCCAGCATGAGAGTGATGAGGCCATGCATAAGGTCTTTCAGAACGCCGGTTGAAGCTTCTCGTGCCAGACTCTCCATCTGAAACAGCTGTGGCCAAGAACAAAATGTCAACATAAAAAGAGTAGAAATTAGAGATGTCGCGAACCATTCGCGAACTTCCCGAGAACGGCTCGCCGCGAGCTCCGGTCAGCATCCATGTCGAAGCTGCCTTCAACATGGATGCTGTCCAGGAGGTGGGAGGGTCTGCTGGAGATTGGCCGGGATGTGTCAGCTGACCGGAGCTTGCCGCGAACCGCGGCGAGCCGTTCGCGGGAAGTTCGCAAACGGTTTGCGACAGCTCTAGTAGAAATGTGATGGATACAAAAAAATTTAATAAAATAATTGGGGAGCATAGATAATGTTATTGTACCCTTGGAAATAAATGGTTTCTGAAAAATGGCACTGCAGATTTTGCAACATTAACCTACAGTTGTTAATAAAGCAAGTAGATTCGGGGGGGGGGACGGAGCCAACATCGGAGCTGAGCAGACATGCTAACTCTAGCTCTAGGCCTCGTGCGAGTAAAACAGACATGAGCGAAAAACGGGCTACTGCCAAACCCAACAGCCCCTCACCCTATGCAGGAGAAGGCTATGGGCCGAAAAAACAACAAAAACCAAGATCAGACAATGGCCCCCTAAGCAGAGACATAGGCGAGCTGTTACAACGCTTGCAGGACCCCCATGTGGGACAAAATGGTGCTGAGGATGAAGGGCCTTCCTACTCCTCTGACGAGACATTCGAAGCGGGAGTGGGAGCAATGAGTGCTCCAATTGTCAGACCTAAGCCCCAGCAAGCCACCCCTGGAGACCAGGAAACAGCCACCAAGTTAAACAGCATGCTAGCCAAACTACAGAATAACATAGCAGTGGACATGGCAGGCATTAATGATGCTATAGAAGGCGTCACATCCAGGATCACCTTGCTGAAGGCCTCATAGAGCTCCCAAGATCAGAGAATAGACTCCATGGAGAGTAAAATGGCTGAAATCCAGCAACAACAAAAAGCCACCAACATCATCTTTGAGGATCAACAGAGGCGTTTTAACCTTACAATCCGCAGCATACCGGACACTGTAGGCCTAACAGACTTACCTCACTTCTTCAGGCACCTTGCTGCCACGCAAACAGGCCAAGGCTAGACTGCATGCTCAGGCTACCGAAGCCAGCCACAGCACCGGCCTCTGCTCATACGGATCTGATAATACGCTTCCAGTCCATGCAGGATAAGACTAATGGTGGCTGCCCGAGAGAAGGCTCCTTTGTACTTTGAAGGAGCAGCGCTGACCATGTTCCCAGACCTCACTAGAGACTATTATAGCCCTCACGTACAGCTCCTTGAGCTACAACATAACTATATATAAAAATGTTCCACATGCTCAATAATTGTTGATGACAAGTGAGACCCTGTGCATGCACATACAAAAAGTGTGTCACTATTTTTCTCTGTGGAATGAAAAAAAAAACAACAAAAAAAAAACGAAACAAGTAGATTCTAAAACTGAATTTGATGTCCAGTGTTAACATGTCATATGCAATGCTGGACACAGTCACCATGACGCACAAATGCCATACCTCTAGAGAGAATAGTGGGATACACAGACAATGAGGGCAGGGTCCTCACCACCTCAGAGTAGTATCAGATTCAATTAAAGTCATGAGTGATTGAAGACACCACAGTAAAAGAAGAGCGAAAACCAAAAATAAAAAAATAAAAATAAAAACAAACTACTTTCCCCTCAAACAAAATATTTATATTTAACCCCTTAAGGACTGAGCCAAATGTACACGTTGTGTACAAAACAAAAACTGGCATTTGCGCTACATGTCTGTCCAACCGTAATTCACCTCTTTCATATTAAATGCACCCACCCTTATTATATATCATTTTATTCAGGGGAAACAGGGCTTTCATTTAATATCAAATATTTAGGTATGGAACATAATTTAATATGAAAAAACTAAAAAAAAAAAAAGGGAGAAAATACGATTTTTTAAGTTAGTGACATTTTAACTGTGAATGTCATAATACGGTTTGATTTTACTGCAATAAAATACACATTTGTATTCAGCAAAGTCTCACATGTAAAACAGTACCCCCTATGTACAGGTTTTATGGTGTTTTGGGAAGTTACATGGTCAAATATAGCACGTTACATTTGAAATTGAAATTTGCCAGATTCGTTACATTGCCTTTGAGACTGCATAGTAGCCCAGGAATGAAATTTACACCCATAATTGCACACCATTTGCAATAGTAGACAACCCAGGGTATTGCAAATGGGGTATGTCCAGTCTTTTTTAGTAACCATTTGGTCACAAACACTGGCCAAAGTTAGCGATAGTATTTGTTTGTGTGTAAAAACGCCAATTTTGGCCAGTGTTTGTGACTAAGTGGCTCCTAAAAAAAGACTGGACATACCCAGTTTGCAATACCTTGGGTTGTCTACTATTGCAAATGGTATGCCATCATAGGGGTAATTTTCATTCTTGGGCTACCATAGGGTCTCAAAGGCAACGTAGCCAATCTGGCGAATTTTAATGCGAAAAAAATGAAACACAAGCCTTATATTTGATGCTGTAACTTTTGAAAACACCATAAAACCTGTACATGAGGGGTACTGTTTTACTCAGGAAACTTCGCTGAACACAAATATTTGTGTTTCAAAACAGTAAAAAGTATCACAGCAATAATATCGTCCGTGTAAGTGCGGTTTGTGCATGAAAAATGCAAAAAAAAGTCACTTTTACTGGCGATATCATCATTGTGTTCAGCGAAGTCTCCAGAGTAGAACAGTACCCCCCATGTACAGGTTTTGTTTCTTGGAAAGTTATAGGGTTAAATATAGTGCTAGCAAATTAAATTCCCTTTACTTTCGGCATGGGTTGTCAGGCAGGTCCCGCTAATTGTAATTAATTAAGATACCTAATTATGTAAAAATATTACATAAATATATAGAGTGTGTGAGATATATAGATATATTTTTATATATGTATATAGATATATTTCGTTCTACGTGTATTTTGATATAAAATATATATTAATCACAATACAGATAGAACACCTATATAATTTTTATTTATTTTTTTAATTTTATTTTTTTAAACGTATTTACATATGATCTAAGTATATAACTTTTTTTTTTTTTTCACTTATTAACATTTTAATAGATTTTCAGCCAGCAGGGGGACTGTCATTATAGGCAGTCCCCCTGCTGGCAATGCAGCAGCCAGCTAACCTGGCCATGTGATTGTGAGGTCCTCGCAAGGACCTCACTCTCACAAGGGCCGGGGGAGCTACAGGAGGTCGGATGTGCTGCGGGGGGCTCCCTGGGAGTCCCCAAAACTGCGATCGCCGGCGTGGGATTACCAGCGACTAGGTAAGTAAAAAAACAAAAACAAAAAACGGAGGGCGTACTATTACGCCCGGCGGCGTTTAGTGCCGCCTAAAATAGGGTGTAATAGTACGCACTTCGGTCTGAAGGGGTTAAAGTTAGTGTGCTGTTTTACAGGAAAATTCTGATCTGAAAAGCCACTATAGTTCTTTTTCTTAGTTTGTAGGCACTGTGAATGCCATTTTTTGTTAAATGGCTCAATAGGTATATGATCCAAACCAGGGGGAGCTGGTGCCAAGAGACCATAACCAATACAATTCAGTGAGATGCTCGATTACGGCAGACTATTTCCTTAATGAGCAAGCTGGCTTTAGCAGATTATCCACAAGCACGGAGGACTGCTTACCGAGATCATGTTGCCAATAATACAACTGTAGAGCCGCACAATATCATCTTTATCGAGCCTCTCATCTGCCATGTGCGTATTGTACACCAGACGCAACTGCATGAAGGTTGCAATGAGGAACTGGTCAATGTGGCCAGACATGGCCTCTGCCTTATCCTCTTGTCTCAGTACCTCATCAATCTGCAAAAACAAAGAGCTCCTGTCATGGTCTTTAACATTTAAAACTAAAACGTGTTACAGCAGTAAGCATAGGAGAGCTTTTGATTGAATTTGGCAATTTACAAAACCAAAATGACTATGGGGCATGGGGACATTCCAGTTATATACAGCTAGAACACCTCTACCCAACTAAGCACTGGCATTTTAAAAACTGTAAATGGGTTTCAAATGTTATTTGACCTAAACTCATTAGCAATATCAAGGAATATAGAATTTACTGCCCAAGAGTGCAATTATTTACATTTATACTGGAAGAACATTGAAGAGATGGTCTTTCACTGAAATAACTAAATATTCACTCTACGGCAAAAATGACATCGGGATTTAAAGCTCGAGTCTAGCGTTAAATATAATTCATTAAAACAAACCATGAGTTAGAAGGGAACTGAATCTTACCTGGGCCAGAGCCTGTATGCTAGCATTGATATCACCACTAGCAACCTGGGAGATCACAAAGTTGATGGTAGAAGCTGTGTTACTATGCATATCATCAAAGTGGGGCGAAATGGCTCGGATCCTGCAGGCGTGGTAGGCAGGAATTAGGTTAGTCTCCAATAGAAGAATCTTATTCAGATGCATTTGAGCAAACATTGTAAAATTAATCATTCCTTGCTAGATACCACTTGTTTACTGCAGCCGTTCTGTTTTGTTTGTTTTAGATATACAGATGTTATTCTTGGACATCACACAATAGCAAATTGTACAAGACCTACAACAACTTAAATACACTTTCTAGTTTGGGAAAGATAGTCCAGTTGTCACTGTAGAATCTGATCACAAATAGCGTTCATGTGAGGTTTAACTCCTATGAGAACATGCAACCTTATTCCTGATGCTTAATAGAGAGAATGCTAAAATTTAAGCAGTAAGAATTCGAGACTGAGTGGGCACGAGATAACCAACACATGCATATACAATGTTCTTTCACAGACTACAAACCAGATCAAATGCAAAACTATTGAGCACTATTTGCAAGACTCACTTTGGCTCTGGAATAGAGACCGGATCGTAGATTTCATCAAGTTTGTGCTGAACAAGAGCCGGTATCTCCCACCCAACGGTGCCATTGTCATGCTCGATTTCATCAAGATCCAGCTGGAATTCACGTGGGACTGAGTGGGCTGGTGGTTCAGAATTACCCCCCATATTGCGAGCTTGGCTGGGGAGGTGAAAAAAAAGCCAACAAATGCAATGTTATTATGGCATTACTTGTGTGAAGAGTCATCGTACAGGCATTTCAACACAGTTTATTCACATGCACTTTACCAAAGAAGAGGAAAGTCATTGAATATCATCGAGGGATGAAAAATTAACACTTTGGAGACTGCTACAAGTTTTTTGTATAATCTGGAAAACTGGACACATTTTAGTTTACAGGAGTAGGTTAAATTTGGCTGCTTACTACCATGCACTTAAAAAGGATAGCTGATACAAGGACACATTGTTATATATATATATATATATATATATATATATATATATATATATTTCTTTAAAGGGACAGTACGAAGAGTCACTGTATCGATCACCCAATATGATGGGTCTAGTGGGTAGGTGGGGAGATGAGGGACCAGAAGCACTTGGCAACAGTACTTACATCCTATAAGTGCGATACATAATTCTGTCCAATGAGAAGCATTGAAAGAAGCACAGAACATTTAGAGATCTCATATAGGCGGTAGACTCCATACCCATCAAGAGTGACAAGCAGAACTTACTTCAGTTTGGACGACATATCTTCAGGAGGTGCTTTGCGCAGGAGGCTGGTGTTGGCGTTCTGTACGCGCTGAGGCTTTTCCTCTACTTGTTTGGCTGGTGCAGCCGCAGTTTTCTTGCCTGCTCTTTTTATCCGCTCTTCTAGCATGCTCAGATCCTTCTCGGAGAGCTGAAAAGAAGATGCAGATCTAAATTTGCTGTAAACGCCAAAAGTATTCCTCTAGAATGGAGCAACAAAGTCACATGTTCCAGTTGTGGGGACGCATCCACAGGATTTTAGGAACCAAAATAAAAGTGCAATTTAATTCCACTAGGGACGAACTGACATTCAGATCATTGCACAGAAACCATGGTAATCATGGAAAAACAGGTCTCCCAGTGAGGATGAAGAATGGATGAAATATTTACAGTAATACAGGTCTTCCTGATGGGCCTCTGTACATATTGAAGTTTCCAATAGTGTAAAAAAATAAAAAAGCCATAAGCAACATGGGCATTTCAAGCTTCAATAAGAAGCAACAGAAAGTGGAGTCCAGTGGCTAAATGAAAAATCCAGCAGAAAAGTTCAAAGAGGGACCTTTACTTCATTTCAATAAGATTTTACCCTTAAATTGCTATCAAGAAATTAAATGCAAATAAAACTGGGAACCAGCTGTTCGCAGCCGTGTGTGAATGGTGTTGATATTACGCTACCACTGCGCCATGGCCTATTCATTACATCATGTTAGTGAAGAAACCTGCTGGATTTTGTCTGAGAATTGTAGGGACTGCAGAGGGAGTTTAAAATATTAGACTAAAATAGCCAACCTGGAAGCATAACTGAGAATTTCCCCCCCAAAGTATTGAATTCCCGTCAATTCTCACTTTAGTGAATGACTCCAATTCCCCTCGTTAGAGTTTCAGGCCAGCTGAATGAATTTAATCTGCAGGGTGATTCATAGAAGAGAACTACTCACATTTCCAATAAGTTTGAAGACCTGCTCTCCATGCACGTTGTATACCGCCACAATTGTGTTAAGCGCAGCATTGCGTACAGTCGTATCCCTGTCACCGATGTGCACAGCGATCTCCTTCAGAGCTTTGGCAGGGGTTGGCTGGCACACGTGCATGCCATAGGATTCCACTAAGCAGCCCAACTCCTCCAGGCATTCTTTAGAAAACAAGACATGGCAAAGAGACATAGGAAAAAAAAAAAAAAGTAACTAAGCTGAAAAGACTTTAATCCATCAAGCACAACCGTTTTAAAAATAAATTTATAATGTCAATCCAAAGATGGCAAAAGACAAAAGCAACCAAGATGAAGCAATGGGCAATTTTGCCACAAGAAGAGGGGGCACAAACGCAATATGCCAGCAAACTATAGATATTGAAGACACACCACAACCCTCACGCCAGAGCAATCACTTTAAGGTTCTATTGGCCAAACAAGCTCTTACCAGCCCTCTGTTTGGAGTTCTTTGACTTTGTTCCATCCATGACAAAAACAAACATCTTGCTGGCTGGGTACACCTGGCACATCTTTGTTAGAATGGCACGCACATCTTTACGTACAAGATCCTTTGACTCTCCAACCTGTTTACAGACAAACAATATAAATAAGAGTTAGATGGGTAGAAATGTGTACAATAAAGCTTCGTAATTCGTACGGTGGAGATTTCTATAAATTTTACTATATTAAAACCTAGTCACATCACGTATAGTACTAGCCTTTGATTTCTATTTGCATTTCAGTACCACACTCAGCATTAAAAATAAATACATCTGTGCAAAGTAATAGGATAAATTATTTATGAATGAAGGCATTAGTGGTCAGATGTGCCATTGGTCCTAAATCTTAAAGCCCTTTAGAAAGTGGGTAGTTTCCTGCCTGGAATAAAAGTTTTCACTTTGTCAAGATACACACAACTTAAGCTCATTCTCAACAATAAATAGTTGCATCTATACATTGTGCTAGCAGAATTATTGGCAAATATATAGATAGAGAGAAATACCCATTTCAAAATGGATCCTCCCCCAGCTGTAAATCTAATAGGGATAGCAGGAGAGACCGCCTCTCTGGCAAAGCAAACCGTGAATGTGCTGAGGTTGCCATGGTTACCCAACTAGTCCGCATTTCTTGCATCAGTTACAGCAGTACTGGAACAGAGTGCCTGATGTTACCCTGGTCAGATGCCAGCATGTTTGCGTCAGAGGTGAATTGCCCTAATCTGAGAAGTGTCCTAGCAGGGCAAATCGATTGGAACGCCAGTGGGTGTTACACCCATTAAGCTGCTGACATAGCAATATGTATAACATCTTAATGCATAATATTTTACATTAGATTGTGAAATGTATTTTTTCCCCAGTTCTAGTAAAGGCTGCGTGGAGTCAGCTGGCCCCTGTGCACTTGTTCTTGTCACCAGTCTAGCTCTGTCAGGCCCCACAGTACACAGCACTATGGGTCCTTGTGTGCAACTCATCATCCTCCAGCAGCCGCCACCAAAATTCCTAGATGTGTAGAAAAGGGCATTTACCTTGAGTAGTAAGTAAGGGACGAAGGAATTGGCTTCCAGCTCAGTCATATGGTAATCCTCTTGGCTAAGCATGGTGAAAAGCATTTTCAAATATTCCAAGCACTTCATTAGGACACTAGTGTTCGTATCAAAGAAGCGCAGAGTAAACCACTTCAGGACCAGATCCAAAACACTCATCACACCATCCTTTTCACTTTCTAAATGCTAGAAAAATAAAGTGCAAATTAGACAGGAAGTAGTTTGAAGCACTTATATGAATTCAAGATCACGTGTCTGATATAAACCACATAAACATGGAGATCTCCACAATCTGCTGAGAAGGGAACGTGGGTGACATATTACAATTAGCAATTTATAATCTCAGGGAGAATAGAGGCTAGGGATAGAACAACATATGCCAGGAACACAAACATTTATTCCTGAGACTAGAGTGGTAAAAATCAGTTTAGGAGACCACCCTTTTCACCTTCAGTGTGGCTGGCCCCACCTCACTCCGTAGCGGAGAGCAAACTTTAGGATCTCCGCCAATACAATGCTTTCCCATAGGAAAGCATTTGAGACTATTGCGGCAAAACAGCATCTACTCATCTTGAATCGATGCATCTCTATGGGATGTGTTCAGCGTCTCCATGCAGAACGTAAAGACTCTGAATGCCAGTGCTGCAGGAAGCCGCTCTAGAGGCAGTCTGAGTGACTAAGCAGCAATGTAAGCACTGCAATTTCTCTGAAAAGGCAGTTTTACATTAAAAAGGCCCGCAGGGACAGGTTATAGAAAACAAAACTAAAATAAGCTGTAGTTGTTCTCATGATTATAGTGTCCCCTTAGAACTATCACCATAAGGAGGCATCCTTGTATTAAGTTGACCTGAAAGTAAAATTAATTTTGTTTAGCACATTAGCATGCACTTTATGGTTCTAAAAAGGGAACACACCAATTTCAGATTGTTTAAAACAAACAGCCAATCTGTATAGAGCTAGAGTTGAGAATTCATACACTTCTAGTATTGACCAGTGTGATCCAATAGAGAGGTTTTTGTTTGTGAGCAGATGCATGTGAATCTGCCCACCTGTTTTGGGCAAGCAAACAATCATATTTACAAATTGTAATGAAGAAAACACATTGCCACTTACCTCCATCATCACATTCATGCCCTTTATATGGCGTTGGAAGTCTGCGTGGAAAAGATCATCTTGGAGCCATTTAGCAATACACGCTGACATCTGTGTCTTTAGCTGCTCAATATATTCATCTCGAGGGGTAGTAAAATTCCATTTTAGAACCTACAAGTCAATGAAAATTATTCAGTTACAGCTATTCAAGTAGGAGTGCTACATCTATTGGACCCAATCCATTTGAAGGACATGTTTTAGTATGAGGTTAGGGCAGCTAAAAAGAAAGGAACAAAACACACAGGATTATTCACCAAAGTGAGAATTTCAATTTTAAAGATAAAATTGCTGAACTTCTCCTAGTCTGCCATGCTTTTAGTTTGAAATTCACTTTGAATTCCAGTTATTCTCCGTTTAGTGAAAAAAACCTGAAAATGCAATTTGAAAAACCAAGATGTCGCCACAATATCTACTACACAAGGCCATTTTGTGATGGAACCTGTAGTGTAAGAGTGGCATTTAAAAAGGACAATTTCTCAAGTCTAAATGTAGAAGTTTGTCTGCAGAACTATTTCACGAAGCACACATTTAGGTAGGTTCCTTTAGACCAGTGATCATAGTATGATGGCCTACAATGCCTAGAAGGTTGTCTGGGCAGTTAATTCATCTCAAGTAGTAAGATCACTCTTAATACTGAAAGGCTGCAGCTTTCCAGCATGTTCGGGAAGAGAAAACCATAAACGCTTAAGAGTGAGAGTTTAAGACCAACGTTCCAGCACTTTCCTATTCTACTATAACTAAAATTAACCAAGGTCTTACCTTTAACCCCTTCTCTTCTTTCAATCTCTGCTCCTTCCCATTTGGGACAATGATGAAAATGGGACCAGATCGATCCTCTTCATCCTTCGCATTAGGTTTGACTGGCACTTTCTTTCCAGGAACAACCTGACCATTAAATAAATGCATATTTTTATGATTAAGTCATTGTAAGTGGAGTCAGAACAAAACAGTTGCAGGATGTATGGGCCAACCTGTTGTGAAGCTATGACAGATCGGAAAACCCAAAAATGTAGGTGGCCTGTTAGAGAATATGGCTCCAGGTTTTATTTAATCCACATCCTAAGAGGAGATATTTATCTCTTAAGGAGTGTTCAATGAACTGGATCTGGAATAAGCCATTGTCAGCTGTAGAACATAAAACTATTCCTGTGAATGTCATTCATGGAAGCTTTGGAGTCAGCTGGCCCCTGTGCACATAGTTTTGTCACCAGAGCAGGTCTGTTGGGCCCACAGTGCACAGCACCACAAGTCCCATTCAGTGCAACTCATCATCCCCCATCAGCTTCTTTGACATGTAAAGCCCACCTACAGTGTTTAAACAGTCATAGTAAGTAAGTGCATGTTTTTAACTGGTAGTCGTACAGATGCTTTCAGAGCCATGTCCTCAAGTACACTAGAGCCAAAAGGTCGTGAACAGAGAAGTGCTGTTACTTGGAAGGTCTTTGTGAATTCCCCAGAAGTGCACAAGCAATCTGTGACTTGCACACCCAGAAGGTGCAGAGGTTAGATATACATGCTGTGTTACCACCCCTCCAATACCTGTTTTGTTGGCTTTGCTTTGGTCAGACTGGTGTTGGCTTTAGATTGGTTCATGCTGTTATTGACTTCAGATGATACCGATGGGGTCTACAGAAAAATTACCTCTTTATGTGACATGGGAAAATCTTATTCTTATACAGAGGAAAAAATACCTCTGAATAAAGGACCAACACATTTAAGAATGAAATGTATAGTTTGCTGGTCGATGTTAAGAGAAGAGTAAGAACAGAGTAATAAAAAGTTTGATAACAGACTTTCGAGGTAGGGCAACATGACAAAAAAAATTTCCAGGAAAATGCCCGATAGAGAAAGTCTGTTTAGGGGGAAGGCAAGTTTGTGAAGCTAGTCTGCAACGCATCCATGATGCTCACAGGGGTTTGACAGTTACCAAAAGAAAGAAAGAATACAAATATATTTCCAAATAATTAACTTGCGCTCTTCCTACCAGGGTAACATCTCCAAATGCCACTGGCGTGAATTACCTTGGTTTTTGATGCTGGAGCCCCAGGTTTGACTTTTTTGGGATCTGGTTTGGAATCTGATGCAGATGACCCGGAATCTGAAGCAGCTTCACCCAAAGAGGAGAATAGCATGGTTAGGGTTTATATCGAATCAACATTATACTACAATATTCAGGAGACTAAATGGAAAAACATAGCAAAAGCCATTGACCAAAACGAGTCAATGCCATACATTCCATTCCCATTTGAGCGATACTGTGATGCTTTGAACAGAGTCTAGTGCTTACCTGCAGAAGCAGGAGGCGCAGAAGACATGGCAGCTGCCCCTGGCTGTTTAGCGGATGCCTTCCCTGGAGGAGGAGCAGGTTTGGCAGGCATGGTAGCTTTTGCCTTCTCCAGTAAAGAAAACACCTGGTCCTTGGACGCTGGCTGGAATAGAAACAGTTTTACAAATAAAGGTAAAATGCCAAAGTATCACTAATTCCTACAAAAAAAAAGTTACAGAAGCAACAAGATAACCCCCTTAACAAAATACTATTTGCATGTGTCATACCTTGAGTTTGCCTGTGGCCTTTGACATTTTTTCAAACCCAATGTGCATCATAAACACTGGAAGAGCCTCCTGAGCTTTCTTGCGAACATCCCCATTGCGGTCTTCTAAGCAGCTGTACAAATAGGGAACGCACAAGAATAGATCGGATGGTGCTGCTCGCAAGGTAGGCAGCTTCTCTGCCAACCACCCCAGGAGCTGGAAAAGTAAACAAACATACCCTTGCATATCAGTTAACGCACCATTAAAGTAGGGAGGGAAGAAATGAACATTTTAATGGTTTGTTCCCTGTCCAAGAGTTGGCTCAAGGTTATTCATATGAGAAAGTTTTACCTCTTGTCTTAGGAAAGGATTTTCCTTTTTCAGCTCCTCAGACAGGTCTTCTCCTTCTAACCAATCCTTCATGCCAGTTTGTTCAGCCCATGCATTCAGGCTAACCAAGGCTGCAGCTCTCACATTTGCCTGCATGGAGTGAGTGTCAGGGTCATTACTTTGCATAAGATTACAGCAACCTTATGAGTAAAATATTAAGTAGACTGAACAGACTTGCTCCTTACGTGAGCTGAACAAGCATGTGCACAATGAAAACCTACAGAAACATCTTCACAAGAGCCCCCTTTCCCAAAACATTCAACAACATTAAACTGGTTAAGTACAACCAACAATAAAAGCCCCTTTAAAAATAGGCTTGAGAAGAAAGTTAAAGAATGTACAGTTCACTACACAAAGAACAAAACATTGACATTGTTTGTACAGTAATCTCTACATTGATTGTGCCCCACCCTCACTGGAGGAAATCGATATGGATGATATCAGCTAATCCAAAGCTTCTCCATAAGGAAGCATTGGGAGTTAGTGTGCATGTGTGGCAAATTCCCATGCATCTATATGGGAAGCGTTCAGTGTTTCCATGTAGCATGTGGAGACCGTGAACGCTAGTCCTGAAAATTGACAGGTTCTTTGCCCCAGATTCTACAGTGTAATCTGCAATGATTTTGCAGGATTAAGTGGACAGAGACACTGCAATAAAATGAAGTTTTCTGGGTGCCTATAGAGTCTCTAACCAGGCAGTATCTTACTTTGCTGTCCCCCAGGACTGTAATAATAGACATCCCAAGGTTCTTCACATGCTGCTTGATATTTGGCCCGATGGCAGTAGCAAGCTGCTGGATGATGCTTAGTGTTTGAAGAACCTAGAAGGAGTAAGAAAAATTAGCTGGCTGGTGGGAGGGACTTCAAACAAAACAAGAGGAAAAACACAAGTGCAACATTTAGTTAAAACAATTGAATATACATCCACACAAATTACAGTTAAAAAAACATTTTATATTAGCAAGGTTTTGAAGTGTATTGAAATTCTTTAAAAATACTGAAGTTGAAACAAACATACTAGAATTTTATTTGAATCGTTAAGACGGCCTTTCAGTGCAGATGGAAGCTCTCCGATGTTCGGCTGTATAAACTTGGCCTCGTTAATTATAGTGGCAACTTCATCAAGCCCTTCTTTACGTATTTTCCAGTTTTTATCACCAATTTTGGCCACCAAGTCATAAGTGATCTTGTCACTAGGGGAAAGTTGAAGAAATATTTAATACTTATTCTGAAGAGATTGTGGAGAAACAAAAAATAAATGTCATTGCAAACTGCAACTCACCCTATGTCCGATCTTGGCAGAAGATCCATGACATCAGGAGGAGAATCTTCTTCTGGTTCATCTCCATCATCACCCTCCTCACCTCCTGTTCCTCCTTTTGAAGAGCCTCGAGTTGGTGCAGGAGGACTCTGCCCCTTCATCTAAAGATGAAAATAGGCCATATGTCACATTCATAGTATACATACAACATTTGTTTTACATCTGGCAACCACACAAACCTTTTCAAACTCTGCATCAATTTGAGAAAGGAGAGCAGGCTTCTCTTCCTCAAAGAACATGCGCAGTGGGGCTCCCATGTACAGATACATCACACCTAGCAAAGTGATTGCAGATGTTCTAATGGCCTAAAGGGAAAAGGAAGCACATATTTAGGCAGGAAGAGGCACTAAAGATTACAGCAATCAACACACAAGATACTTACTGGATTTGTAGCAGCAAGAGCAGTCTTCACATTACTGATAAATGCCTTCACATTCAGCCTGTTAAAAAAAAAATTTAAAATATATAAAGCTTTATTCAAATGATAACACATGGCTGACTGAAAAAAAACAAAAAACTTCGTACAAAGTCTACCAATGCAAATCCTGAACTTTTATGGTTAAGTTTAACTATATAGTAGATTTCAGTAAAGCTGATCATTTCGCATTTTGCTTATAAGATCCCTTGAATCGGATACTTGCTGGATGACTAGGCAGTCCTTACCAACAGCTGCTGGTATTTAAAGTTTAAGAAACTGAATTGAAACTGGTAACCGTTATGCTTATAAATTTAGATTAATGCCATCTTTACTCACCCCGTAAACCCAAACTCTTTAATGGCATTTGACAACCAGTTCAAAGTCTCAGACTGGTTCTTGGGATTCTTCTGTGCAAAGGTTAGTGAAACAACCTGTATTGTGGAGACATCACATGTATTAGATGCACATGGATGAGAAGAGTGGCTGAGCCACGTTAAAGGACTTTGCACCTCACCTGCTCGGCAGTCCAAGGCAGGGAGCAAGCCTCTGCAATAGCACTCAGAGCCACTTTGGCATTTCCTCCACACTTCACATCTCCAACCTTATCTACCAGACCGTCCAGGACCACATGAGCGGACGTTTTAGAAAAATTTCCCTTCTGTGCAATGAGTGCCACAATGTGTAACTTCATCTGCATAACCTACAAAGAAACAACTCATTAAAAATAGCAATTACGTCTTAGACAAATTTTAGAGACGAAAACCTTCCCCTAATTAGATCAGTTATGTTCTATGCTTCAAATTATTGCAGGCGTCCATAATCACTGCTTGATGGATGGTGACAGCATCCATCATCCTTTATAGGAGAAGAGCAGCCAATGGTCTTGGCATTAAAAGCTATAGGTAATATCCTAAATATTTAACCGAAGTAGTGAGAAAAAAATGCAAGTGCCCTTTTATTGAATAGTAAAGTCTAACTGGTTTACTAAATATTTATGAGGGAAAGTGCCAAAAAGGAGATTTTAAAAGTAGTCAAAATTAACTTCTTATCACTGGCCAGCATGATGTAGTCTATAGATTGTTCTAAATAAGTTAAAACCTCACTTGCTTAGACAGACTTTTGGGCTGGTCTCACCGTTTGCAAATGGTTGCACACAGCCAAGTACTATAATACAAGGGAGGATCCGTCCATACCAAGCCAACAAGCGCAGTCATATACCTGGAAGTTTGTTTCTTTAAATCCAGGTTTCTTTGCCAGCATTTTGACCAGTGCCTGGCAGGGTATATCACTCCTTTCCATGGACTCCACAGCCTAGAAACAAAAGGTTTCATTAAAACACAGCTTTCAGTTTAGAGCTGCAGTCATGATACATGCAATTGGCAGGGAGCAGGGTGTCGTACCTTCTGAAACTCCTCCATGCTTGCAAGTCTCTCCTTCCAGTTACCACTGTCAAACAACTGCATGCATGATGCTGGGAGTACAGCTGCTGCTTTCTCCTCACATGCCTCGGGCTAGGAGACAGATCTTGCTTACATAGGCTTCAAAAACCAAACAAAAACAAAACAAACAGACTAGTAAATAAAAGTCCATATACTCACCGAGAGCTCCTGCTCAATGATCTCTTTAACGTCTCCCTTCTTCGACTTGGCAGCTCCTCCACCAGATGCTGATTGTTTGGTCTTCTTCACGGGTCCACCAGGCTGGAACAAAACCGAATCTCCATTAATTCAAAACCAGGGTGCATACGCTGCACATTCCAAACCCCAGTGTATTAAAGACAGATATCCCTGCCCTCTTTGAAAATACCTTAACAGCCGATGGCTTTTTTGGAGGGGGACCAGCTTTGACTGGCTCCTTTGCATCTTTCTCCACTGCACCAGGAGCTGACTTTCCAGGAGCTACAGCTGAACCTTTAGAGTCCTTCTTATCCGCAGAAACAGGTTTCTTGCCATTGGCTAGATCAACCTTGTCTGCACTCTCTTTGATCTGCAAAATTGTGAGACGGAAATAAAAGTCAGGCTGCTATTCCGTTTTAGCCATTCAGAGAATGAGAAGCTGCACCACGAGGATTAATAAACGTTATAATTCAGCTGCCAACTTTCTACTCGTAGACACTCAGCTGTGTATACACAGACCCGATGTAGTGAGGTCTGTGTGCGCGCATGTGTGTAGAAAAAATAAATAAAAATAATGCTCTGTTGCCCTCATATTCGATAAGGAAGCATCAGGACTGGCTCAGACCTGTTCTCAGCTGGAGCGCGTTTAATACTAAAGCTGCTTTTCGGAGAATACATTTTTTGCATATATACACTGTTATACAAAGAATGTGATGAAGTATATGGACCATCTCCAGCATATTGAGTCTCTCATTAAGATCAAAGGACATGTGATTATGGACATATAGCAAATAATTGAGATGCAGCAGTCTGCTGCAGGAATTTACAAAGTGATTTGACTCCTAAATGGCAGAGAATGGAGAAGTGAGACTGCAGGGGAATCATCTACACAACAAACCATCTTCATTGAGCATGTACAAATGCATTGTGTTTAGACTGACACCCACACAGTGTATTAAATCAACAGTGTAATAACTTTCAAAGATAATGATCCTATTTACTACAAGAAACAGAACTAGTCACCTATGGAAATGACTTACACGGTCGAGTTTCAGCTTGTCCACATCCGCAAGAAATGGATTGACAGCCTTTTCTCCTACCACTTTTTGCGCGGTTCCAAGTGCCTCGAAGGCTGCATCCCTTACTTCCGGAGCCGAGTCATTGATTTGCTGTGGTGAGGTGAATAAAATGTACATTTTTTTTAAATTTATTTTTTTAACCTTCTAGAGGTCTCTATACAGAGTGTAAACTCAAAATGTGCACAACTTGTAACTATGCAGATGGCAAAAATAAGTTGCAAACTAAGCAAATAAGTTTTCAGTAAAACAAGTTTCAGTGCATACATCATGTAGGTCCACTCTAATCCAAGGGCACAAAGTTATATTTAAGTAGACAAGGAGTATTTAAGTATATATGTATATCTATACATAGCTAAAAAAAAAAAAATTGTTATTTAGAAAGAATTGCAGTGATAGTATTAAAAAATGTCCTGTTTTAAGTGTGATTTAAAATACTGATTATTAAGAAGTGTGGACTATACCTTGAGGAGCGCCGCACAAAAAGGTTTCAGCATGGCCTTGGGCAGAGTGGTGGGTGTGCAGTGGCGGAAACTTCTTGCAAGAAATAGAGAGGTTTGTTGTTTTATTGATGGGTTTTTGTTGTCCATAACAGCAAGGACATCTTCACTTATGTTTTGCAATGTTGTCTAACAAAAAATAAAAATATAACCAGAAAATTAGTTGAGTAAAGCTTTTACATAGTCATCAGATCAAGCTGAATATTTGGGTTAACAGGGCACTCACTGTGAGAAATATGGCATCTATCGCTTCTTGTAGAGCCTGGACTACCTGTGGCTTCTTCTCCTTAAATTTTTCCAATATTGTTGGCACAACCTGCAAAGCAAGAACTTTTAAGACAGTGGGAAAGAGGTGGCCTGCAGAACTTACACTCCATAAGCATGTGGAGACAGACACTGTAGGAAAGAACACTTGTTATCCGTTCAAGTTCTTGTACAGAGAGAGCGTGCACTGCATACTCGTGCCATGAGATGAGAGGCTCAGCGCATGGAGAATAAAGTGATAGCAGAGGCATTTGGACAAGAACTGAAAAACAGGGAGGTTTCACCCATTAAGAGGTCTGAAGTTCAGGCTTTAAGTGCTGGGGAGCTCTCCAGATTGTTGGAAATGAGAACGAGAGAGCCTCCCTGTAATATAACAAGAGTAGGCTAAAGTGTGATGGAGTGTACTCCTAAAAGCTTTGTTGTCCCTCTAACAATGCACTCAAGTCAAGAACCAGCTATGCTACAGTTTGTCACAGTAAACATAAAGAGCACCATTGGCTTTATACAAGTTGTATGCTGCACATAACCCATCTTAGCTTTTAACAGTTTGTTCCATTGTTAGATTGTTGCCCGAGACTTCGATGTGAGGAGTGAAAGGGACTCAAGCTTTCTAGAATTAAAAAAATAAAAACATATAAACACATTAAGGGAGGAAACAAGTTCAAGCCAATAACTCACAATTCCAGCGTAGGTTCCAAATTTCTTCCTGAGACCACTGGCTAGACAAGCCAGACATTTGGCAGCTAGAGCCACAAGCATCACATTTGTATCTTTTCCAACAACCTGCAAGTAAAAGGAGGAAAAAAAATAAAATAAAAAGTTTACTTTTTTTTAAAAGGGGAAAGGACAAAAAAATAAAAATAAAAATAAAAAACCTCCCCCCTCACACAAAACACACCAAGAAATTTATGAATGACCCAATGGCAACATGTCTCTGTACTAAATCTTTGCACAGAAGGAATATTTAGTTAGGGGAACTTCGATAATAGAAGCAATTCGAATAAATAATATATATATATTATATATATATATTTAAAAAAAAAAAAAAAAGAGAGGTGAAGGAACATGGTTACCTTTTTCAGAGCACGCACGAGATCACCATAATCACCCGCCTCAAGCTTGGGATTCTTTACAAGAACCTCCACAGCTTCCAGAGCTTCCTTCCTCTCCTGCCACTTTTTGGCCTCCTGTTAATGAAGATTTTGCATATTTTCAGAAATTACAGGCAGCCATGTTTCATTATTCGTAATGGCCAATACAGCCATACTTACAATTTTATCATAGAAATCTTTGGGCATCTTCGCGAGGATCTCAACAGCTTCCAGCAACTCGTAAGCATCAACTTGTGGTATAGCCTCCTCTTCACACTCTTCATCTAGGAGAAGATACACATAACAGTCTTTAAAGCCGTGGAGATATTTGTAGCAAGTTATGAGGGGGGTAGGGGCGGGTATTTTATAAATCTATGAAATGAAGTAGAGATATGATTTAAGAGATATTTACCATTAAAAGTTCATTGCTGAAGCACTGTGGCAAAACAGATGACAGGCATTACCAAGCATTCTCACTGCCTGACAGCTCTGAGGGACTGGTAATTTGTAAAAGGTACTGCAGCTTTAACCAAGTTTCTAAGTAACGCTTAAAGTACACAACCAATGACCGTGAGAATGACTGTTTAGAGGGGCAAACCATTATTGCACACTACTGGATGAAAGCGCTCTGCAAAGGCACCCACCTCCACCATCTCCAGCGGCGGCCTGCTGCTCAAACTTTGCCTTAAGGTCTTGCTGTGAACGCAGAAAGCGGCACTGTTTCGGAGCGGACTGGGGAAGCTTCACCCACTCTTCCTCTAGATCTTTAAGCTGATAAAAAAATTAAAAAAAATAAAAAAAAATAGGAGTATGGGGAAAAAAAAAAAAAAAAGTAAATTTCACAGTATTCTTCAGTGTGACCTTGTGACTGCAGTGTAGATGTCAAACGGGTGGAGGGAGGACTCCTAAAAGTTGCCTCCAGTACTAAGCAAGAAGGTAAAAGCTGCAATTAAGTTTCAAAGACTACAACTGGCAGCAAACTGCTATAAGTTGCCTATTGTGATACATAAACACCATTCACTAGTGCAACTCCAGGCAGTTGGTTAAATGTATTCTGCATGTAAATTACCACATTTCTCACCTGAACAGGATTAATGTTTTGCAAAGGAGGTCTCAGAGCATCCCTTATCCAGCGGTATATCTCCACTGACAAGAGTTTAGCTTCATCTCGAACGGCCTTTTCACGGGACTCAAAGAGCTTTGGCAACACTTTAATAATTGGCTTCAGGGTCATTATTTTGGAACCAAATTCACTACAAATGAAGAGGGATAAATCATGAGATAGGAAATTAGGCTATGGGGGTTCGGAGGCAATAACAATTCGTTACAAGCACTTACCTCAGTGCTCGCCGCAGTGTCTCCACCGAGGCCACCACAATCTTTGGGTTCTTATTATCCAGACCTTTTAACAGCTCTTCTTGTACAGCTTCTGCCTTTTCTATCTCTATGTACATGAGGCAGATATCAGAGCCAAGCTCCTTTGCCTTGGCTTTTGGCTGGTTAAATACCTTATTTACAACTCCAGACACTACTTCCCCTGTGGTTCTGCCAAGAAAAAGGCGGCGATTAGTGTGATATTAACAAGAAAGGTAATACATTCCATCCAAAGATACATACTAAACCGGTTTAAAATTAAAACTTAAATTGCAGTAGTAATGTCACATAGTTCACTCTCAATTCTGAAAATAAAACTAGATTTATTTCAGGATTCTTAGAAGTCCGTTAGAATGCTTAGCACTATTGCAGCCCTAACAGCCTCACACAGAAATCAAACATGCGGCCTGTATGCTTAATCAATGTGACACACAACTTTGATCTCAGTTTTGGAAGCAGAGCAGGGATTCGAGGCTGCCTATAACCAGATTCACAAAATGTTAAATCAAACTATTTGTAAGACGTCTAAGATATGGTTTGACCGATGAATTACACTCATTCTGTGTTAGGAGAGAATATCCTGGGTCCTGAAAATGATGTAATTATTACATGCCTAGTTACATTTCTGCCTTCGCCGAGTGTTCATATTAGGGAACGACCGATTATCGGTCTGGCTGGGGGGAGGGGTGTTGGTTGGAGGTGGCAGGCAGCAGCAAGCTCGCTCTTACCTTCCCAGCAGCTCCCCTCTCTAAATCTCGCAAGTCCAGCGGCAGTCAGAGCGTTGCCACAGGTTACTATGGCAACACTCCAGCAGCACGCAGGCTGCGAGAGTTAGACAGGGGAGCTGAAGGGAAGTAAGCATGCAGCTGGGTCCCCTCTGTACAGTCCATGTCACCAGGGAAAAATGTTAAAAATTAAAATCCCCCCACTAAACACACACTGCATTCAAATATTCTTACTGCATCCACTACACACATTCTAGAAAGCAAATTCTGACTATTGTATATTTGTGCATTTACCTCAATTTAAAAAAAAAAAAAAAAAAATGAATTTGCAAAAAAATAAAACATGTTCAATTAACAGATTTTTCGAAATGGTAAATGAACAGAATATCAGTAAATTATCGGCTATCGCTCTGAAAAGTTCACAGATTAAATCGGCATCAGCTAAAAAAATAAATAAAAACAAATACATTTTAAAAAAATAAACCACTATATCAGTCGATCCCTAGTTCATATGCTTTCGCAGTATGCATTTAGCCGTATGTAAAGAACATGGATTCTACTTACTTTCCGGCGACATGTGCATTTTCCACGAAGACCAGAGCAGCTTCCAAACCCTTTAACTGGGCAACTGCATTAGACTCTGTTACAAACTTCTTTATGAGACCCAAATATTTTGACCATTCTGGGCTCTTCTCATCCACAATCTTTTGGAATAATTTCACGGCCTCCTCGTAGCCATTTAACCTGGCTTTCCAAACCTAGAAATAGGGTAGCAGTAATATTAAAGATGGAAGGCACAGCAGTCATTATGGCAAACAAAACAAACAGCCCTACTACTATAATCTGGAGTATGTCAACGTTATTGTTTTCTAGAGGGTCATTTGATTTAATGTCACAAGTCAGTAATATTATTGATATAAATAATGTTTTATACATACAGCAACGCTCCATTAATAGAATAAAATCACTTTTCAGATAAGTGTAAGGTCTTCTAGTGAAATCTGGATGTGGAACGTACCCAGCCTGGGACCAGGAAGTTACCATGACATTATCCATGGAAAGTACCATGAGATCACTCATGGTTTTCTTGCACAAACAGAATGTATTATCATAGTCAAAGGGTGATAGATATGTGTGAATTTGAATATGGCAAAGGCAGGGATTTAATAAGAAAATGACCCCAATTTGTCTTATTTACATCTTGCTTGCCTTGGAATAAGTGTTTTTATATAGCTACTCCAGAATACAAACAGCGACTAAGTGTGAGGGGAAGATTTACTGCTCATCACATCAATGTATCTGAAGACATACCTTATGTTCACATTTCTGGTCAATAGGAAGTTTCATCCATTCACTGTCATCCCCCATAGTGGCGTCCTCTTTTCCCTCTTTTCTGTTTTAATACTAAGGTGATCTGCAGGGAACAATAAAGACAGTGTATAATTTAAAAATTGTAGTTATCTTCTCAGCTGTCCACAAATCCTGGCTTAGTGAATAAGAGCCTACATCTAGCACGTTTTCCATCTACTTGCGAGGGCTGCATCACCAGTATTACAATAAGTGCATGGCAAATTCGGCCTCCTGAGTGTACATGTAGTCATAGACCTCCACATAGCCCAGCTGCTCTTTCCCAACAGCCTATATACTTTCATAAAATTAGAACCACACACCCCAAGTACTAAACACACCTTGAGCCAAGTGCCTTGTAATTTAGTATTCAGTAAACACGGACACAAAACCTCCAGGGTGATTAAATGTGCTCAGGTATTAGTCAAATACCTGTCATCCCCATGAAGTCCATAGGATGTAGCAAAGCGCTAGAAGAGTTAAAAAGGCAAAGTAATTTTGAACTTTAAGGCAATTAAAACGGTACACTATAGTGTTGGGAATACCTATTTAGTTATCTGGCCGTCCACAGGAAAGCATTGGGAGGCTATGGCGCATGTGCTGTAAAATGCTGCATTGCCCCAATTTCCTTGATTCAATGCATCTCTATGAGGAAAATTCAGCGTCTCCATGCAGAACGTGGGAGGTGCTGAACGCAAGTGCTGCACAAAAAAAAAAAAAAAAAGGGAACTCCTCTAGTGGCCATCTGAGGGACTGTGTTCTGTCAGATTTCTGGACTCCATTAGAAATCTAAACCCATGTCATGTCCATGTGCTGCACATGTGTTCTTGCATTCCTGACGGGTCCAAAAATCTGATGCAAGCTAGGAGCATGAGTGAGACTACCGCGTCACTCCAGGTCGAGCGGCACCATAATGCCTCTTCAGAGTGCATTTGCTGACATAACTCTTTTTCAGCAAGGTCCTGCAACATAATTAAAGCTAGATTCACACTCACATTATAGTTCGGGCATTCATTTAAGCACAGATGCAGAGGAAATTTAGGGTTAAAAATTATTAGCCTCTCACTCCTTACTCTAACCCCAAGAGTAAGAAAATTAACCCTAGACATTTTTAAATGTAATGTTTTTCCTAGGTGTCCCTAATCTCTAAATAAAAAGTTACTCTCTAAATCTAACCCCAATTTTTACCCTAAAATGTCCCATGTGCTTTAGTAATTACCCCAACTATAATGTGAGTGTGAAACCTTGCAGGACCTCACAAAGGAGGAGTTACGATGTCAGCATTTGCAGCACAGGCAACATAATCTACATCACCAAGATTTCTGACGTGTGTAACGGCACCTAGAGGCGTAATTAGAGTCAGGATATTTATGGGGTAATAAATATTTTACAAAATTGTTTTATAAAAATCAAAAGTGTATTTAATTTTTATTAATATCAAAATTTATATTTTGGCACGTTTCCCCTTGATTAATTTAGAGAGACTAGTTACCCACTATTTTAACTCTTATATACCCTGGAGTACGTTTATCAGAGTATTTGTATTTCACATATTAATCTCAACCGATTATAAAAATACAACTTATTGTGTCTTATTACAAAATGTCTGACAGTAAAATACCTGATACCAGCCAGCAAAGTAAACACTGCCTTTTTGCTTAAAATGTAGCGTTTAGATTGCTGAGCCTGCAGAGACAGACTATAGACACCAGAACTACTACATTAAAGGACCACTATAGGCACCCAGACCACTTCAGCTTAATGAAGTTGTCTGGGTGCCAGGTCCAGCTAGGGTTAACCCTCCCCCCCTCCTCCTTTTTTTTTTTTTTTTTAACATTGTTTCAGAGAATGTGTTGTATGTAGGGTTAATCCAGCCTCCAGTGGTTGTCTCTTGACAGCCGCTAGAGGCGCTTGCGTGCTTTTCACTGTGAAAAATCACAGTGAGAAGATGCCAGCATCCATAGGAAAGCATTGTGAGGAGGAGAAGAGGAGGAGAAAGAGGTACGTTTAACCCCTTCCTCTCCCCAGAGCCTGGCAGGAGAGGGTCCCTGAGGATGGGGGCACTATAGTGCCAGGAAAACTAGTATGTTTTCCTGGCACTATAATGGTCCTTTAAGCTGCAGTGGTTCTGGTGACTATAGTGTCGTTTTAAGCATCTTTGGGTCTCTTTATACCCCATTGTTAAACAGTGATAAATAGAGACCACCTTGTTTATTAGTAAATCATTCGCCAGTTGTGGCCAAAGATTCTCTGATGTTTATGCAATACAAAATATCGAGGCCAACAAAGCATTGTCGAAGTGGTTTTAAAACATCAAGTTGGCCAACTTCGGCCATTTAAATTAAAGGACCACTATAGTGCCAGGAAAACATGGGGGAGGAAGGGGTTAAATTTACCTATTTTTCCAGCGCCGGACGGGGGACTCTCCTCCATATCGCCGTCATCAGCTTATGGAATCTGGCGTCTTCTCACTGTGAAAAGTCACAGTGAGAAACGCCTAACCCTATTATAAACATAGCAGTTTCTCTGAAACTGCTATGTTTATAGAAGAAAGGGTTCATCCTAGCTGGACCTGGCACCCAGACCACTTCATTAAGCTGAAGTGGTCTGGGTGCCTATAGTGGTCCTTTAAAAACATTCTTAAATTGAGTTTTACCATCTGAAAATGTATGAATTTAAGCCTTTTACAACCCTATACTTCTCAAGAGTGTCTCTACTCCATGACTGCTTACTGCTAGCCAGTTATGGCTGATGGAAGACAAGTAGTCACCTGGCTGTTCAGGGACTGCAGGATGGCATGTGACACCTAGATCTGCCAGCTTTGACAAAACATCAACTATAAATATGAGTGGGTTACAATTCCAAGGTTGATTGGGAGAGAGGGAAACCACGGGAGCTATCCCAAGAGGTGTAATTATCCAGACAAGCTGTGGGTGCGGAAGAAGACTTATTGTGGAAAAGCTCCATAGTCTGGGGAACTGTTGCTGTGCTACAATAACATACGAAGGAAGTGTTCAGGTTAGAAACCCTGTAAACATTAAAGGAATACTATTGCATGAGGAATACTAACCTGCTGTAGTGTGCCCTGTCTCCAACTTCATAGGTCGTCCACCTCAAATCTACTTACCTCTTTCCAGCAGCTAGGCTCACTTGGAGTTGGCTAAATCTTCTTCTTATAGTCACGGTGATTGTCATATCTAAAGCACACGCGTAGCACTCCCCACGCAGGCATTAAAAAGGTATTCTCTAGCGTAAGGAATACACAGTTGTATTCCTTACACTACAGTACTCTCAGCCGCTACCCCCTTCCAACATGCAAAATTGTTAAAAAGAAAACCTTCACTCACCCGATTCCAGCGCGCATCTCCCTCGGTGCTGGATCGGCGACTGTCTCCTCCGAAGGGGAGCTTTACGTGCATGCGTGGTGAGCGCATTAGGCCCTCTCCATAGGAAACTATTGTTTTAATGCTTTCTATGGGGATATCCTCATGCAGATCGTGAGGACATCTGACTTCAGTTAGACGACCAAGTGTTTGTTTGAATCCAGGAAGTGCCTCTAGTGGCAGTCTGACAGCCAACAGAGGCGGTCTTAGTCTGGCAATGTTAATCATTGCCGTTTCTATAAAACTGCAATGACTTCCATTGCAGGACTAATGGGAACAGGAACACTACCCAGACTACTTCAATGAGCTGAAGTGGTATGGGTGCCTATAGTGTCCCTTTCAAGCCAAGAAAAGGACAGGTCACAAACTGTTAACACCAAGGTTGCGCCAACCATGGCACATCCAAGCTGTTGGATTACCCTTGAACTGTGTTTTCTAAAAGCCAACAGCAGTTATGGAGCAAAGGGCACCCCTGGATTAAACCACAATTTCCCCAACGTTTATTCATGACTTTAAAGCTGGACTGAAATATTTAGGCTAAAATAGTCAAGCTGTAACCAAGATTTTTCCCCAAACCATATGTTGCCTTAAGTAATTGGGTGTTTAGGAACTTGTTAAAGCTTACTCACTAAACCGCAATTAGCAGGGAATCTAAAACAGCATTTCAGGGATAAGCAACCACTTGCTATAGCAGAGTTAGAGAATGTTTCTGCAGTTTGGTTTAGAATTCACCAGTTTGTTTGTGGTTGCATTTAGCAAGTGCAAAGGTAACCAAGCATACAGCCACAATGGGTTTTGTTTGTGTTACAGATAAGAATCTGTCATTCATCAGGCAAGTTTGTAACATTAAACAGAGGGAATTAACTAACCCAGGCGAACCTTGTTCAATTACTTTAAGACACAGGGCTTTAGTCACTAAAACTGCTGGGACGTGAAAAAGTTGCAAACTTTAGATAAGATAACTAATCTGGCAAAATTGTCTAACTCAGCCATAGCCACAGCATGGATTTTAAGTTTTGCGGTTCAGTTAGTAACTGAAGAGTAAACAGCCATGAATACAATTTCACGTGTTTCAAAGTTTTAAAAGAAATTCCTTGCGCCACACCCCCTTTTTGACCATCTTTATTGACAGTTTTATAATCCTATGCTCATTAATTTTGCAACTGTTTTTCAAGTCACTGCAACAGAAAATGTTGCAGGCAGAACTAGCACTCAGTTTTGAAAAGAAACAGACCTATTGTATGGTGTATGCACAGGCTCCATATACACACACAAAGAACGCTAAGCAGAGAAAACCCATAAATGTAATTTTTGAAATATAAACATTTCAGCCACCTCATTTACTGTGGAGAAGGTACATATCTGCAGGCAGGATAAGATTTAAAGCAAGTTAATGTCAATCATTACTGAAAATCATGCTAAGTTATCTTCAATATTTGCAGCAAGATCCAGATTTTAAGATAATAACTTTTCAGATTGTTTTAAAGGGTAACTCCAAGCACCATGACCACTAAAAGTTATTTGAAGTGGTCATAGTGATTGGAGTCAGTATGTACAGGGTTTCAGTTTGAAACACTGCACATACGGAGATATTTGTAATTTTGTGCTGGGGCTAGTTCATACTCCAGGATACGAGACACTCACAGCCTAGAACGGTTTTGAGATACCGGATGTCAATTCTGTGCATAAAAACCATGTCAGCTAGGCAAAGTGCGAGCAAGGGGGAACTAATTCTTCTCCATCATCCTCCATGTGGGCGCACCCTTCCATCCCCCTCTATTGAAGAGTAGTACTAATAATTTTTTTTACATTTAAATTTTTTTTTAAAAAATAACCTTCCTCCCGGAGCACGCGCATGTGCTGGCAAAATGGTCCAATCACAGGCTTAGATGAAGGAGACTCTCTCTACACTACCAGACAGGCATTCTACACAGGAAAGGTCCCTCCCTCCCAAGGGTTGGGTACCATTTAATAGTATAATCAGTACAGTTATATACCATTCGTAATAATAGATAATTAAATTTTATTGCAAGGTGAACCAACTAGTTTTTAAAACTTAAAATGTGTTCATCTCATGTCCATAGATTCGCAGAATAATGGGATTAAAGGAACACTAGTATCAGGAATGCAAACCTGTTTTCCCAACACTCTAGGTCAAAACCTTCTGTTAAAAGGTAATTTACTCACTTTTTTCCCAGTGCAGTGTGGGTCTCCTTGTGGCTGGCCCTGCTCCGATCATCAAATCAGCCAACCAATTTTCCATAGTAAAGCATTGGGAGGCTATTGGCAAAGTTCCACACTGCACCAATCAGCATCTCCTCCGAGATGCATTGAATCAATACATCCACTGGGAACGTTCAGCATTTCCACGAACGATGGAAAACAGGAAACATCTCTGATGCCCGTCTGAGTGACATCTACTAGAGGTGTTACTAGACTGTAATGCTTTCTCTGAAAAAGGCAGTGTTTACATTAAAATGTCTGCAGGGACAGGCAGACACCAGAACTCTACATTAAGCTGTGTTGTTCTGGTGACTAGAGTGTCCCTTTAAAGGTTTTCTGAACTTTGCACAACCAGCATGCAATTTTTCACAGCAACAGTCTTCTAAAATACACAGTTTCAATTAACTTTGAAAAAAAAAATATATAAATATTGAATATACAGCCACATACTACATAACTAATCCTTACTTTATGATGAGAAACTGTTAAACTATATTGTATCGTATAGAGAAACCATCTTTAGATGGATATTTATTTAAACCTGGTTTCTTTTACAATAAAATGCCTTTGGAGAGAAAATCTAAAACCATACATATAGCTTAGCCTCCCCTTATTAGTGTTTTCCTACTTTGGGTGATTTTACAACTCCCAGTGATTGACAAAGAGTATAATTATTCACTGCACTTGCCATTCTGTTTACTGAAGGCTTTACAATTAGAGTGTCCTACAACGCTCGTCATGTGCTTTGTGCATTATCCCGACATGCTTACTAGTAAAATCAGACAGAACTGTATTGCACTTTTAACCATTACATTGTTACAGTTACAAGGTGTACATTACTTCCTGTCTGTTAAACAAGGAATTAAAAGGGACACTATAGTCATCAGAACACAACCACTACACCATGTTTTTCATGGGAAAATGTAGTGTTTACATTGCTGCCTAGTAACTTCTAGTGGTAGTCACTCAGACAGCCACTAGAGGTGCTTTCTAGTTAAATGTTACATGGTGCATAGAGCTGGCATTCAGCATCTCCACATTCCTCATCGAGATCAACTGATGCACAGAGTTTTTCACCGCATAATCAATAGCCTCCCAATACTTTCCCACAAGAAAACATTGGATTGGCCAAGATCATCAAGTTTGACAATAGAAGCTATGGAGGCAGAGCCAGCCGCAACAAGATTTGTGTTGAGTGGGAGAAAAAGTGAGTAAGATTACCCTTTCAAAGCGAGGCAGGTATTCCTTACACTAGTGTTCCCTTCAAAGGGATACTATAGGTGCCAGGAATACAAAGCTGTATTCGTGACACTATAGCTCCCTCTGCCTCCCTGCGGTGGCCAATAAAGTTAAAAAACATTTACTTGCCTTATCCCAGCACCGATGTCCACCTCCTCCTCCTGTACAAATGTGCATGCGCAGCAAATACCACGCACATTAGACCTCCCCAAAACAAAAGCATTGAATTAATGCTTTCCTATGGGGAAAAATTTGACCCTGGATGACCTAATGCAAAGCGTGAGGACATCCAGCATCAGATACCGGACCAAAAGACGCCTCGAGTGGCTGTGTGGGAGACAGCCACTGGAGATAGACTTAGTGATGCAACAGACACTGCACCCAGACCACTTCAATGAGCTCAAGTGGTCTGGTTGCCTATAGTGTCCCTTTAAGGGCAAACACTGATAGTTTACAAATCCCTTATTGTAATGGATCACCTGGCACCCCGACTGGGTACCTCCGTTGATGGATGCTCCTAGCGCTTCCTGAGGGCGCCAAGCACTACAGCAGACACCATAACCACTGTAGACTCCTCCAGAGAGCAAGGCAGGAACTTAGTAGTGATTTAGCAAGGGAGTATGACAAGCATAGCAATCCCTTGTAGCAGATTCCCCCAATAAGACGGCACTCCAAATTGAGGGTGAAGTAGAACTCTGGTTTAATGACATACATAAAAGCAGACAATTATACATTAGCCAATCAAACAATGGTTACAACACAGATTCCCTCCCCTTAGCCTGAGAGGTAACACAATTAGCTGTACAGTTTAAAAGTACAAATGCTCTCTCTGGGAATTAAAGGGCCAGAAACAGCATTCTAGAAATCCATTATGCCCAAATACATCCCAGGGCCATAGTCGCAGGGCAGGAGGCTGGCAAACAGGCCCCTCCAAAAACCAGTGGCGAGGTTACTTTCGCCACACTTATATAAATAACAGTCTGGTAATATGAATTGCAACCTTGTCTATACGACTTTGTGGTATTCAAATAGTAGAGCTCAACAGTGCTGGGTTATTAAAATATTAATAAATATAAAATAAAAAAAATTACATGAAACAATAGACCAAGGCAAAATATGGTTCATAAAATAAAGTGGGGCTTAGAACACAGAACCTACACCTGTGCAATATCACAGAATAATGCAGAAGGTCACAGAACTCCCAGTTAAGTCCATTCTGACGTTGTTCAAATAAAGTGCATAAGAAACTCAATTTGACCTGGGCTGACATTTACTTGTCTATCAGAGGCTTTCCTTTATCTAGCATAGCCAGTTTATAATACCTGGTTTGTTTAGATGATTTGGCCTGGGTGACTATAATGTTCTTTTACGAAACAGCATAATTCGGGCCACAAGCAAACAGCATCACTTGTCTGTGGAGGTGTGAAGTCACACAGCAATTCACTTTTGAACCAATCATGAGTTAGCCCTGCACTGCATCCAACTCACGGCACACACCAGGTACTTATACAGACTCAGCAAGGGGGTACATATATGCTGGATGCAGTTAAATACATATGAACATAAATATGACAAGGATCATTATCCAGTGAACTTTGCTTGAATTTTTGCATGAGAAAATGAATAATACGGAAAGCACTATTGGTTTGCAGGTACAAACACCCCCCCCAAAAACAGTCAATATCGAAAGCCAAATAATGTAAGGATAGCAAGCAGTTATAAGGTATCTGCTAGTTTGTCAATACATTTTATTGCACGAGACTAAAGCACTGGTCTATTAACAGAATAGTGATTAAAGAAAGGTAAGTTTGACATGACAGTGTCTATTTAATAGAGTCCTCTTCCCTTACTCACTCAGGATCTGTTCATTTCTTGCTGTCTGCTCTAATTTTCTTTAAAATATAAGACAAAGTAGGGACTATGTGTCTTATGGAGGTTTCCTACTCCTGACCATCTCTGACCAGTGGAGGTGCAAAGTGGCCTTCATTTCCGGCGGTCAGAGAAATTTTCCCATAATTCTCACCTTTCCTCCGTGTTCCTGCGATGCTTTCGTTCACTTTTCCTGAACGTCACAGACAGAACACCGGCAAAACTGCCGAACTGCGTCCTTGCAGAATGAGAACAGTTTGTTTATTCACATTAGGACGCATTTCGGAACTTTGTTCATATTGGAATCTCATTCGAATGAATGAAACTCCGATCCTATTCGTGCCGCGGCTTGCAGCTGCTTAGTAGATAATTCCCACGGTATTAGGGAGCCACTACCAAAAAGCTGAAAGACCTAAACTGGTCTTTCAGGCAAATTTACCAATACTAAGTAAAGCCTGTAGCTGCTCACTGTTTTAAAAACACAAAAACCCCTAGTGCCCCCCCCACCCGCAAGCAGTGGCCCTAAATGAAAGTGTTGTGCGTGTCCCCCTCCCACAAGGGGGCTAGGGATCCCCAAGCCACTAGTCACCTACCCCACCCAAATATTAATAAACCCCTACCTATTCACCTCACCCTAAATATAGTGGGGGGAATAAAAGAACCAAGTACCAAAAAAAACAACAACAAAAACAACACATTTTCAACCTATATTAATAACGAGATCTCCCTTAAACACATTTGGTCCATAGACTGTTTTAAACAGTTTTCCCAAGCACAGTGACCTCTTCCGACATTTGAAATTCTCTGGTGTCAAAGGTTTAACTCCACCTCCAGCAACATCACATCACTTGGAGTCATTAGCCCGTATCAATTCCGTGCAAAACTGGCATCAGACAAAAAAAATAAAAACAGACAAACCCTCCCCTCCCCCCCATATGCTGGAGGCCACACAAATGGCACCTCATGCATCCTTTCTACCCCAACAAATAACGTCAGCAAAGGAGAATCATGCAGAGGGAGGAACATTTTTTTTTTTTTTTTTTTTTAAATCAAGTTTGAGCTCTCTTCTACGGAGTTGGGGGGTGCACTGCTACAGAACATTGTTACTCCAACCAAAAATCTGTGTTTTAGGGAAAGAAAAAAAAAAATTTGTTGGAGCAACCCTTTTAAGCCTAATTAAAGATTAGTTTATATGCATTAAAAACAAGTGAGAACCTAAAGATCCTTCATACAAAAGCTTAGTTTCATCACTAAAAAACCATTACAGTTCTGGCTGGTACTCTGATGGTACTGCTCTAGAGTTTAGGTAACTCAAAATCTGTTCCCTTGGTTCACTAAATCTCATCTTCAAAATATGTGGGTTTGAATGAATACCCACCATTATTTTGTAAAGATGTTGAAAAAAAAAACCATGCATACCAATAAACATTACTGGTAGATGCATTACACCGTACATACAGAGACAGGCACAGTTTTTATGAACAAACAGTTGCAGTCACATGAAAATATAAATAGCCAACATCTTTCTTCTGCTTCAAGGATACTCCTGAGACAGGAGGGGTGTAGATCGCAGATACACAGCTTATAATTACAGACTGAGGAAATACCAACTCCATTAGAGTAATGCAGTTATATTTTGCAGACAGTGGACAACTACTGCACAATAATGAATAAGTAAGTGGTCTTTCATAATATTCGGAAAGAGAAACCATTTACACACTGCCGACTGATTATGGAACAGGGTGGTGTATGATCTGGTAGATTTAAGGGCCCAATCACTAAACAGTCAGCATTGGTGAGTACACAACTAGTGAAACAAATAAGCGGAGGCAAAATAGCAGAACTGAGCAACCAACTAATTTTCAAGTCTCACAAGGCTTCCAATTGATACATTCTGACTTTATTTAGACTAGTAAGCTTCTTGATTTTGTTTTTGTAGAAAGCTTTACATGCCATCAAATACCTAGGCGTTTTGTTTCTGGAGCCTTCAACAACTTACACCCCAGTGGTTTAGTGATTATCACTACTATAGCTAGGTGTGTGATTTAACCGCTTCACAACACCTCCTGGGAGCCATCCAAGACTTGACATGAAGGGTGTGAGAGGCTAATGGGGCGTGGTATACAACAATAAATATAGAGGATGCATACACCACCCTGGGCAGATGTCACCAGTGTTTACAGTCACACAGGAGGCCTGTGACTATGCTTGAGCAGACAGAGCCCGGTCTGGGAATACACACTGACAGCCCAGCCTGGGAGCTATAGCCAGGCCTGGGAATATAATGGAGCACACACTGACAGCCCGGCCTGGGAGCTATAGCCAGGCCTGGGAATATAATGGAGCACAGACTGATAGCCGGGCAGGGGACGCTAGAGCCAGGCAGGGGACGCTATGGCCAGGCCTGTGACTATACTGAGCACAGACTGACAGCCAGGCCTGTGACTATACTGAGCACAGACTGACAGCCAGGCAGGGGACGCTACAGCCAGGCCTATGACTATACTGAGCACAGACTGACAGCCAGGCAGGGGACGCTACAGCCAGGCCTATGACTATCCTGAGCACAGACTGAGAGCCAGGCAGGGGACGCTAGAGCCAGGCAGGGGACGCTAGAGCCAGGCAGGGGACGCTAGAGCCAGGCAGGGGACGCTAGAGCCAGGCAGGGGACGCTAGAGCCAGGCAGGGGACGCTAGAGCCAGGCAGGGGACTATACTGAGCACAGACTGACAGCCAGGCAGAGGTCGCTATGGCCAGGCCTGTGACTATACTGAGCACAGACTGACAGCCAGGCAGGGGACGCTATGGCCAGGCCTGTGACTATACTGAGCACAGACTGACAGCCAGGCCTGAGACTATACTGAGCACAGACTGACAGCCAGGCAGGGGACGCTACAGCCAGGCCTGTGACTATACTGAGCACAGACTGACAGCCAGGCCTGTGACTATACTGAGCACAGACTGACAGCCAGGCCTGTGACTATACTGAGCACAGACTGACAGCCAGGCCTGTGACTATACTGAGCACAGACTGACAGCCAGGCAGGGTTGCTATACTCAGCACAGACTGGCAGCCAGGCAGGGGTCGCTATGGCCAGGCAGGGGACTATACTGAGCACAGACTGGCAGCCAGGCAGGGGTCGCTATGGCCAGGCAGGGGACTATACTGAGCACAGACTGACAGCCAGGCAGGGGACTATACTGAGCACAGACTGACAGCCAGGCAGGGGACGCTAGAGCCAGGCAGGGGACGCTATGGCCAGGCCTGTGACTATACTGGGCACAGACTGACAGCCAGGCAGGGGACTATACTGAGCACAGACTGGCAGCCAGGCAGGGGTCGCTATGGCCAGGCAGGGGACGCTACAGCCAGGCAGGGGACTATACTGAGCACAGACTGACAGCCAGGCAGGGGACTATACTGAGCACAGACTGACAGCCAGGCAGGGGACTATACTGAGCACAGACTGACAGCCAGGCAGGGGACTATACTGAGCACAGACTGACAGCCAGGCAGGGGACGCTAGAGCCAGGCAGTGAGACCCGGATCAGGCAGTGACTCTATGTAGGACCAGGTCCCCGCATTCTGACCCCCTCCCTGGGGCTCCTATTACCTCGGGTGCAGGTGTACAGACCCCGGCAGGCTCCCCTCCTCTCAGTCCGCCTCACACAATGGCTCGGGGCGCATCTTCTCGTAGCTCAGACTGACAGCATCTGTGCGGCGCAGCCAATGATGTCACTGCTAGGAAGACAAGCCCGCCTCTTCCGGCGAGCGCAGCCAATCAGAGAAGCCAAGCATCAACACAGCTCAGGCACGGCCTTCAGAACGGGACGAGGCCCCGCCCAGTTGAGGGCACACCCACTGCCAGGAGAATCCATGCAATCCTTAGAAATCAATCATTTCCAGTTATGGGAACACATTACAATGACAGCAGCATGGCAGGGGTGCCATAACAGAGCAATCCAGGGTTTCAGGTTTCCATGGCTGGCCTTGCCAGGCCACCATTCCCAAATCTGAGTCATCAGCACCTATAAATAAATAATGGGGAGCTGGGCACATGACCTGGCATGAAGGCATGGCTCCAGGATCCAACCAGTCACACCCACACATGGAATAATACCACACCTGTCAATACAACTGGCAGATAATCAGCAGCTGGCTGAGTGTGCTGGGAGTTTTAATGCAAATCCAGATAGGGTGCCAACCCCCAATATCAGGTGGTCACATGACCTGACAATTGCTCCAAGTGTCCATCAACATGTCACAAACATGAGATACACAATGGTTGTATCTCCATCTGGAAGGTAACCAGCAATAGGCTGAGTGTGCTGGGAGTGTTATGCCATTCCAATAAGGAAGCAGCCAACCCCCAGGTATGAGAAGTTGGCTATATGAGCTGGCATGATCGAGAACGGTCACACAAGAGGCAGATGCCCAACAGCAAGGCATACCCAATAAAAAGTGGATATACCACACCTGTAACTAACTGTCAAGTAGACAAACAAGTTGCCAACCAGATTGGTAAAGTCAGACTGGCCACAAGGTTAGCTTACTATCCTCAGCTACGCCAATCAATGCCTACCTCCCAAATATTCTGGTCTAGGAATAGCAGTCCCTATTGTGGGCCCCAAATCCTCTGACCAATGTTTCTTTCCTACTGTCCCTCTTCTCAAAGTTCCCTATTAGTTGATGTGAGTGTATAAACGCTTCACAGCAATAATACTTACAGTAATGTGTCTTTAAACTGCAATACAATGTTTTAAGAAATCAGTCTGTAAATAAGATACATTGTTCTTGTTCTAAAATACATTTCAGTAGCATAAATTGTTATTAGTATGCCCAATAAAATGTCTCAAAACAGTCTCAGAACAGTCACGTCCCTACTCTCCCCCACCCCCCTCCCCCCAAAAAATGTTTAAAGAAAAAAATATCAAGGCACCATGACAACATTAATGTGTTTGATAGATTTTGGCTTTATCAGTTTTGTTTTTTTTTTTTATTTTTTTTTAAATCAGCCTCACAGCACTGAGTTAGTGACTTAATTTACAACCTGCCTGCAGACAGTCAGAGAAACTACAAACATGTAGTGATATGCTACTATACGTCTCCCTAGCTGTCCTTTACTTCCAATACAGGTTGTTTTATTGTTCAGATCATTCAGTATTGTCAGAAGCTGAGCTTTACATTTGATAAGGAAGTATATTTCTGGAGTGAGGGTGGCGTGGATAAAGAGGCAGGCTTATGTGCAGCAATCTACAAAACATTTATGCAAAAAATGTAAAGATTTGAGCATGCAAAAATATAGCATATTAATAAGTCCAAAACTAATCAACGCACTTTGCCCATTTGAAATATTGGAGATATGCCAACATGCACTTCCCACAAGTGACCCATGAACTGCAATATCTTACATTGTAGGGTTAAGGGGACAGGAACACTGCATCCAGACCACTTCATTTAGATAAAGTGGTCTGGGTGACTAGTTTTAAAAAAGAAAAAACAACTTTAAAAAAAAATTAAAAAAAAATCTGAACTTCGAGCCACTCAAAACAACATTAACACAGCAATTGGCTTTTCTTTCATATGTGGTGCTTAGGAATATTTTAACCCATCTGATGGCCACATTTTGCCACTCATTCTGCTAACTGATCTTCACAGGATTCTGGGGGCATTTCTGATGCCTGGTTTCACTGCGATAAAGACACTAAACAGGGGCAGAAAATATTGTGCATGTTTGGCTGAAAGATGGGTTAGAGCCAGTATAAACCTTTTTCCCCAGTGTGCAGGGAATTCTACTTAGGACTTATTTAGGGTTAGCATGTTGGCCATAATTTACTAGTGAGATATGGTTGTGCCACAACACACAAAGTCTTCAAATTATCCCTTATTTTAATTACTTTTGTTGATTATTAAAGTGTTTCTTCAAACCTTTTTGCCTTTATTAGAATAGGGCTCTATTGGCGTTATTTAAGTTAATAAAACATTTTTTTTTTTTTTTTACTCACCTTATTCAGGGTGGAGTCAGTTGGGGCTCTACCTCTTGCGAAGGGGGGATCCAACGCACATGCGCAGTGAGCACATTAGACCCTCCCTATAGGAAAGCATTGAATCAATGCTTTCCTATGGGGATTACACTGACACTGGAGGTCCTCAGGCAGAGCGTCCAGTCATTTAGAAAGCACCTCTAGTGGCTGTCTGGTGTTTTACATTGCAGGTCTAAAGGGGAAAGGCACACTGCAAACAGACCATCTAAATTAATTGAACTTGTCTGGATGCCTATAGTGTCCCTTTAATTTGAGACAATTCACACCTTTATGATAAAAGGAGTACAGTGTTTTGCTCCTCCCTCACCAACCAAAAGTGGAAAATGTACATAGCTAGCATCACACGCGTATTAGAACTTCCATAGAAAAGCATTGATCTATTGCTTTCCAATAGGAATTTTTAAGGACCACTTTAGTGGCTCCCCTCCCCCTCAGGGCCCCCCTCCCGCCGGGCTCTAGGTAGTGGAAGGGGTTAAATCTTACCTGTTTTCCCCCGCCTGGCTTCCTCGGCGTGGGGAACTCTCCTCCTCATCGTCTGAATGCGCGGCAAGAGCCGCACGCGCATTCAGCCAGTCTCATAGGAAAGCACTCAATGCTCTCCTATGGACGCTGGCGTCTAGCGCGGAAGCGCCTCTAGGGGCTGTCAATGAGACAGCCACTGGAGGCTGGATTAACCCATAGGCTATGTTTATAGCAGAAAGGGTTAATCCTTAATCCATTAAGCTGAAGTGGTCCGGTTGCCTATAGTGGTCATTTAAAGGCATCGGACGTCTTTACGCAAAGTTGGATCTGCCATGCCCCAAACAACTTATGCTCATTATACTAAGCATAATTCTATCTATACATTGTGCTAGCAAATTTATAGATTAGGAGAAAAACCTAATAAAAAGAGGCTCCCAGCTGTTAAAGGACCACTATAGTGCCAGGAAAACAAACTTGTTTAGGTTCCCCCCCACCCCTCCGGGCTCCCCTTCTGTTGGACTGAAGGGGTTAAAAACCCTGAGGGTTAATCCAGCCTCTTGTGACTGTCTCACTAACAGCCGCTAGAGGCGCTTCCACGATTGTCACTGAAAATCACAGTGACAAGACGCTGGACGTCCATAGGAAAGCATTGAATAATGCTCTTCTACGGGCGGTTTGAATGCGTGCGCGGCACTTGCCGTGCATTCGGAGCTCTCGTCGGTAGAGGGAGAATTGCGGAAGCGCCTGTCAATGAGACACCCACTAGAGGCTGGATTAACCCTGAGTTATATAGCAGTTTCTCTGAAACTGCTATGTTTTCAGCTGCAGGGTTAAAATTAGAGGTACCTGGCACCTAGACCACTTCATTGAGCTGAAGTGGTCTGGGTGCCTATAGCGGTCCTTTAAGAACGCTGAGGCATTGATAGACAAAGGAGAGCAGAACAGACTCCTACAGCATGTCGTCCTGCTCTCCTAAGCATAGCAACCACAATACATGTGCAGTGGTTGCTATGAGAACTCTGTAGCTAGCGCTTCTACGACGGACTAGTTCATATAGGAGCGGTGCGACAACGGAACAACGAAAAGGGGGCAATGAAGGCAGATTGCCAACGTCAATGCAGCCCCAAGCAGAAGCAAGTAAAAAAAAAAAAAAAAGACAGGAGGCAGAGCAAAGGATGGCCAGAGTTGGGTGTTACAAAAT